TGGCCTAGGATAATTTTTAAGAGGGGTTTTTTAGAGGGGTTTTTAATTACTTTTTAATTAGACAATTTAAATATCTCATTTTAATTAATTTTAACTTGTGATTGTTAGTGGTGTTTTTTAATTGATTGTCAGCCGCCCTGAGTCCGCAAGGAGAAGGGCGGGATATAAATTCAAATAATAAATAAATAAATAAATAAATTGTTCTCTAAAAACATTTGTGGAATACCTTTCTATATTGAATACATCTCCCTGCCACCAAGTTGTTTCTTTCATGGTGCAGAACACAGGAGACATAACTAGTGTTCTACTTTCCATCTCTGTTCTAGTGTTGTTAGGACTAAAACTAGAAAAACCAAAGGTAGCTTTCATTGAGCTAATTACCCACAGTATTACTTCCAATGGCTATGGGAAGTTTCTTTTGATAAATACATGAATACTGAAATATATAGGCCATTATTTTGATTTAGGGGCTTATTGGGAATGTGCTGGTTGCAAATCAAACTAGGAATTTCCCATAGTCATTTTCCAACATTTTGCTGATAAACATAGGCTAATTTATGAAACCTAAACTTTGTTTCACAAGCTTATGGAAATAATGAAATGAACGTATTGCATCTTAATATGAATGGAGCACACTAGGGAGTGTAGGAGTAAAATATATTGTTATCATTGTCAATATCACATCATGAAGATAGCCAGTATCTACAGTATATAATAAATGTGAATTCATTTGTCCGTCCGTCCATCTGTCCATCCGTCTGTCCATCCATCCATTAGCAGTCTTATTAAGAAGTTTTAATTTAACTTAATTGAATTTTAGCTGAAATGATTTCCTAACTTTACTAATGAGGATAAAATGAGAAGTGGCTACCATAGTCATATTTTATTTGTTTGTTTGTTTAAATTTGTTCACTGCTCTGTACAGTGTCATTTTGAATGACACACTAACCAACAGCCCTTTATTTTCTTTTGTTCTATCCAGATAACAGAGTTGGCAACTGTTACTTGAAATATGGACCAAGAGGTGATGGGAGTCTGTCCTGCAGTACTGAAATTGGTGTTGGAGTCAGTCGTTCTTCTTGTTGCTGTTCCTTGGGAAAGGCCTGGGGGAATCCCTGTGAGACATGCCCACCTGTAAATAGCAGTAAGGAAATGACTCTGTTAGATGGGAGGACAAATAACTAATATAGCAGATAATATGGCCATATACATGAGCCATAAGGTTTTCTATAAACCAGTGCTTATGAGGAAATAAACATTTCTCAGAGGTGATACATCAACTTGTCAAAGTTCTTTGCTATACTTCCATCACATGTCAAACTAATCCTCAGGACTTTGTTTTATTCTTGGTTGTTTTATTTAATCCCTAGGTGAATATAATACCTTGTGTCCAGGAGGCGAAGGCTTCAGACCAAACCCCATAACAATTATCTTAGAAGGTATTTTTGTTTCTTTCAGTATAACCACCATGGGTTTTGCTGATAGTACTCAGATTTAATAAATTATCTATAAAGGGAGATTTGTAAATTGAGGTTAGAGAAAAAGTACTTTCACATTTAGAATAAGGATATGAATGAACCAATGCCTATTGAAAGAATGTGGAATAAACTACAATAAACATTTTAAATATAGATGGGAAAATTGATAAAAAATAATTCATGCTGATAATTCAACCTTCTCTATTTATATAGTTTTTCTACCAGTTCACAATTTCCATTTGGAATGCTGAGGTTCTCAGAATTTCTTGTTGGATTTGGCAGGTCTTACTGTTAAAGGGGAATAAAGACAGTAACATTAGTTGCCCAAATTTTATTACTTTTGGTATCTCTAAGGAATTTCCATCATCACTTCAGAAAAAGAATAATTAGAAATATGAGTTGGCAACTCTGTACTTGATTATTAGTTCCTGCTGGAAGAGAGAAAAAGGCTGAAAAGGAAAAGTTACTGAATATGTATTAAAATATACTGCAAAAATCACTATGTTTGGTTAAATCAAATTAATAAAGCTAGAAATTAATAGTAAGTATGATTTAATTGTATTATTTCAGTAGAGGAATCAAATGTGTTCAGTATTTTAATATTGTACTTAATATTTTTCCATCCAAAATTATGAGAGTTAAGTATTCTCTTAACTTTGCATGGATAATCATTTATTTGCAGCTTTCCCCCTAGATCTCTGTAATAACAAAGTAAACAAATTTATAATCAAAACTAAAAGCATAAGTTAATGATTTAAAAGTAGTCTTTCATGTAATTTTTATCAGCCAAAAACTGTGGCTTTCTTTTTCTTTGCAGACATTGATGAATGCCAAGAATTGCCTGGTCTATGCCAAGGTGGAAACTGCATCAATACTTTTGGCAGCTTCCAATGTGAATGTCCCCATGGGTACTATCTCAGTGAAGAAACACGTATCTGTGAAGGTGAAAATTCTTATTTTTCCTTATAGTAGGAATGGAAAAACAATATTCTTAACCAATATTTTGTCCCACAACCATTTTCCTCTTGAGAATATTGTATATATATTTAATGTGGAGTCATAAATTAAAGCTTGTGGGTTCTAGCTATTCTGCAGATCCCATTACTGAATTTGTCATAAATAATAGAAATTGAATCCTGTATTCTGATATTAACCCAAATAACCCAATAGGGTGCAAATTCTGTCCTTTCTCACAACATTTCTTCAAAAATAGGTTCAAGCAATGTTCAAAAATGTATTTAGGTCACTGTCTTACACAAGGAAAGAGATTTTAAACAAAGGACTTAAAATTCTTAACTTATAGATTAAGTTAATTCTTAACTTATAAATTCTTAACTTCACTGTAAAGCACAATTGATATACTTAAGTTTAAGCTATGAATATACAAACTCTAAATTAATTTTATTTGATTCAAATTCAGCATGTTGATTTCTTTTTTTCTGTTTTGAAATAATGGAAACTTGATCTATATAGCTAGTCCTTGACTTATGATCAATCACTTAGCACTCATACAAACTTACGACAGACCTCCCCAGAGTTACTTAAGACCCAGATTCACAGTTTCAATAGCTACCCCCCCCATGGTCACATGATTGCATTTAAGGCACTCAGCAATTAGTCTCATTTACAGTCATTTGCAGTGTCCTATGGTCACATGACCATGATTTACAAAATTGTTGTTGGAAACTGGTGTTTATTGGTTAGCTGGTTTTCAGTAAAAGATGCCATTGCAGACAATAGAGTCACTTAACAAATGTGGCATCCACTGAACATGTCCAATGATATGGTGACCCGCTTCAAGATTAGCACGACTTAACAACCATAATTCCAGGCTCAATTATGGTCGCAGGTTGAGGACTACCTGTATAGGGCCTGCAACAGAGGGAAAGGATAGCTGTCGTATCCTGAGTCAATGTTCTTCTAACCACATATCTGTCAGGTTCACACAGTGATTTTCAGTGAGAATGTAGCATAGGAAAAACATTGTACTATTGATACAGTTTGTGGATTATTTAGTTAATGTTGACTTTTAAAAGATGAGTAAAATCTCAAACAGAGGATTAAGAGATCCATTATTTGTAATAGAGTGTTGAAGTTTTCATTTCTTCAATCTATTCTATGTTTTAAGTCTTGCTGATCTGTTATTATTCAACATTTTTACTTATTGAAATTAATTTTGATGGTTGATTTTTTTCCCCTCAGATATTGATGAGTGTGTTGCACATCCTGGTGTATGTGGTCCTGGGACATGCTATAACACCTTAGGAAACTATACCTGTATTTGCCCCCCAGAATATATGCAGGTGAATGGAGGACATAACTGTATGGGTATGTTTTCACATTTACGTGTTATATTTACTTTCTTAAACTCTTAAAACATGCTGATAATTGTTTCTATGCGTATATTTTTTATTTTATTTTATTTTTATTATTTATTTTTTTATAAACAACTCAAGGCATATGTTGTACGTGCAGAGACTATAAGCAAGGTTTGCACCAAAGCAACATTTATATAGAAGCATCATATAGAAAAACTTATTTAAGGTCAGATAAACTATTATTTTGTGCCTTTGAATTGGCATGGACTCCTGGGGACTGTCTGAACAAATCCATGAAGTTTTATTGGCAAGATTTCAGAAGTGTTTTGCCATTGCCTGTTTCCTCAGGCTGAGAGATCTAACTAGCCCAAGGTCACAGGCAAGATTAGAACCATGGTCTCCTTGTGTAGTAAAGGTATGCATGTGTGTGTGGGTGTGTGTATGTATATAAAAGGTTTTATATATATTATAGTGTTATTCATATTTATTATTAATTGGTGCGCAAATGAACATGCACACATGCACAATACAGGTATCCCCCAAACTACATATCTGCTTTAGATATCCTACCTATAAATTATACCTAAACTAAAACATTCTATACTTCCTTCTGTCCAAATTACTTTTGAAACAATGAGTATTGGAAGAAACACATTTAAAGTAGGATCTATAATATAAACTGCCCTTCAATATTAATGGTGCATTTGTAATTCTTTATTCCTACTTTCTTTGTTTTTGTAATTATGCCAAATTTTGGAGCTATAAGAGATCAGATTGATCCAATATAAAAAGAAAAGTTACATGAATCGTAACTTCCTTGATCTTGTTTTTCTTCTGGAAATTTCAGAACACTTAAAAATTAACCAGTACCTCTATCATGGCTAAGTTTCCTACCTATCCAGTTCTTTTCCTCATTCGTTTTAATAAACCATGGGATATAAATATGGCTGGCATATTTTCTGCTTTGTTTCAAATAAAATTGAGCTTTGTTAGGTCAAAATCCCTTAGCGTGATAAGTACAGAACCAAACATTTATTGTACTCTCCAGGATATTTTTAAAACCATGTGATTTTTATATGTTTAGATATGAGAAAGAGCTTTTGTTATAGAAGCTATAATGGAACATCTTGTGATAATGAACTGCCCTTTAATATTACCAAGAGAATGTGTTGCTGCACTTACAATGTTGGGAAAGCCTGGAACAAGCTGTGTGAACCATGCCCAGCTCCAGGGACAGGTAACCATTTATTTACATTTTCTTGAGCAATTTATATTTAAATGATATATTTGAATCTCAGTTTGGTATCATGGTAGCTTTAGCATGTTAGCCTCACTTTCAGTTTCACAGCAAGGAAGAAAGTAAATTTTAAAACCTTTCTCTCTCTTTCCAGCATTGTGTTTGGTTCTACATACAATTAAACTTGTTAAAAATAGAAGTTCTAATTCGTAGATAGTAGTGAAAGAAGGCTGTCCTCCTTCAGTTATTTATTTAATTATTTGCTTATCACGCTTGGGGGGGCTATTCTAGGTGGCTTACAACAGTAAAAACAGAGAAGTGAAAAGAAGTGTAAACCGAACAGTAGTAAAGTAATGAAACCATAATATGAAATAAACAATAAAACAATAAAAATACACTAATATGAGATTAAAAGATGGGTGGGTAGGATCAGGGAATACAGGGGAGAAGGTGAGAAATTTAGTAGCCACCTCCAGTGCAGTACAGTCCCATTGGGTTTTCAGGCCAATTGGCAGAGCCAGATCCTCTTACGGAAGGATAAGAGGGTAGAGGCAGATCTCACCCTGGGGTGGAGGATAGGATGTTCCAGAGGGCAGGATAAATGCTTTCCTCTCCATTGCTGTATTTTGATAGGAAAACTAAATAATTCAAAAAAGGTAGGAATTCACAATTACCATCTCTTTCTACAATCCTATATTGCAGTGTCTAATCAGTAATTAATAACTGGATTATTTTGGCTGAAGGAAATATTCCTATATGGAAGGCAGAAGAGTGCAGTTTGTAATGCAGTATTTTCTTCAGAATTACTGGTTTTTACATTTACTTTCCTATTAATTCTGGTGTTTCTTTTGCTAATCTAAGGCAGGAAAGTACTAGATTAGTGATAGGAAGCAACCATTAAAAAAAAAAATTACTGAAATATAATTGTACTACTTTTTAAAATAATGGCATATCTGTCTAAGTCTTGCAGTGAAATTTATTTATTTTCTACAATATGCATGTTCTTTTTCAGTGTATTAAATGTTATTTTAGTTAACTTGGGAATACTATCTTTGTTAGTGTTTGTAGCATTTTTATTATAAACAGAAAAGAATTAAAATGGCTTGAACAAAGATAAGGAATAAAATATAGAAATGTGAATTTGGCTTATCATAAGAATAATATGGAAATCCTCTGCAGTGGTTTTATGAGATAATATATTGTGCAAAAATAATTTTAAAAAATTAGATATACTTATAATTTAATAAATACAGTATACATGTACAGTCAGAAGGGTTATGTCCTTGTTGCTTTATTTATATATGGAACATCACAAATCTCAAAAATAAGAGTGATTTCTTATTCTGGAAGTAACCTAAGTTTCTTCTCACACCAAATAACTCAAACATGAGTTATGGTATTTGTATGACAGCCATACAATAGCAGGGAAAGAACAGGAAAAAGTTTTCAGTCTAGAGAAGAACTTGAGGATTAAAGATGAGCTTTTATTTGAGATGCGTTTCTGCAGGTCTCTGGAATATGTATTCAGGCTTGGCTCAGGAGAATTTTGATACCAATTGATAGTTATTAATTAACTACAAGGATTATAAAATAAAACTATGAAGTAATTATAAAAGACTTGCAATAAATATGTTTTCCCCCTTTTTGTTACTTAAGTTGAATTCAAAACATTATGTGGAAATATTCCTGGTTTCACCTTTGACATTCATACCGGAAAAGCAGTTGGTAAGTATGAAAGCTGTGTTTTTTAAACTACATAATCTAATAATGTAAGGCAGTGATAAGCAAACCTCTTCTATTTTTAACTACCTTTTAAAAATCAAGTCAATAATAAAATTCTGCTGTTTTAGAAATTACAATGTTTTCTCAACAATTTTTCCCCAACTTACGTTTTAAAGATACACTAAAGCTCATCCTGATATTTACATATATAGATACACACATGCATCTCTGCATGTATGTAAACTAGTATTAAAAGAGGAAAGCCTAGTCTGTTCCTTATACTTTTACTTTTTATGTATAATTTTTATTAAAGCTTTTAAATAAAAACATATTGCCGTATGAACCCAATACACGGAATGTTCATTTTTCAGATATTGATGAATGTAAAGAGATTCCAGGTATTTGTGCAAATGGTGTTTGCATCAATCAGATTGGAAGTTTTCGTTGTGAATGCCCCACAGGATTTAGCTACAATGATCTGCTCTTGGTCTGTGAAGGTGATGTACTATCTTGTATAGCCTGACCATTACAACAATTGTATGTATTTCAAGTTGGTGCAATTCACTGGATTTGCAGATTTTATACACTTGCACTGCCAAATAACCATTATCTCACAAGCATCTACTGTGTTTGAGTTGGCCAGAAAAAAATGCACAAAATGAAATATTTGTGGAAAGTTAGTGTATATTCCTCCATTCCTTTATGAATGTTTCCTTAAAACAGTCCAATTGTTAGAATATATAAGAACGTTAATGTTTGTTGAAAAGATAAAAGGATGCTTGTCTTTGAAAAATATTTCATTTCATTGAATTTCTGGCTTGGTTTTTGCCAGAATATTTTGCCAGTCTTCAGATTGTTAAGCTTTAAACCTTATTATAAGTTACAATTCTTTACCTAATATAAAGACAGTCTGTACATTTTTTATTTCACAAGGTAATGTTTATCTTGTTAATTCGATTTCTTACTTAGGAAAAAAAAGAGGATAATAACCCTCTTTATTAGTGTTATAAGCATCAGTGTTGCTTATGAAATATTGTGTTGATTTCCTATTGTTTGCTATGTTATAGATAGATTTATAGATTTATATATAGGTATACAGATTTAATGTAGATTTATTCAATAATTTTTAATCTTGATAATTTTCTATTAATATTTTTATTTATTATTTAAACATATATATTTGGGAACATATATATTACTTTCCTGACGATGTTGCAATACTTTAATTATCAAGTAAATTAAAATATTATTTATGTCTTAAATAGCATACAGATACTGTAAAATACTAGGCAGATAGATTGATTCAAAATGCATTTAGGTTTTAGATTTCAGCTGGAATGTAAAATACATGTTTACAATTGTTTGATTAAAATTAATGGAATATAAACATGCTTTGCCTGATTCATATTCACTGTTCCTTGTTCAGTACAGAAAATATCTGAAGTTTCATTGTGATAAAACACATATATTGATTCTTAATCATGGATTATTGATGTTACAGATATCGATGAATGCAGCAATGGTGATAATCTCTGTCAACGAAATGCAGATTGTATCAATAGTCCCGGTAGTTACCGCTGTGAATGTGCTACAGGTTTCAAACTTTCACCCAATGGTGCTTGCATTGGTACGTTATGGTCACCATGTTGCTTAATTTTCCTTTCAGTTACATATTTTCCAATTTTCTGTATTGAATTTGCATTTCATTCACCCTTTTTAAAATTCATAAACAGAAAAATGTAGTAGCGAAATAGGTGTTGTAATTTCCTTCAGTATAGCTAATATATTTATTTTAACATGCATAGAAAATAAAGCTTGTCCAAAGATTGCTGATTCAGAGAATAGAGCTTTTTCATAGAACAATTTTGTCCAGCGAGTAGACTTTGACTCTAATAATAATTAGCAGATTCTAAAAGTGGAATTTATGAGTCATAGATAAATCATAACACCATAGATAAATATATGCATCATATGCTTTATGTTTTGTTTTAGATCGCAATGAATGCCAGGAAATACCTAATGTATGTAGTCATGGCACGTGTGTGGATAAAGAGGGGAGCTACTACTGCATCTGTCAAAATGGTTTTAAGGCATCTCGTGATCAAACTATGTGCATGGGTATGTAAATAAATATATTAAATTTTAAATCTAAAGTATTGCTATGCTGAAGATTGGATGGCAACAGTAGAGTATAATAGGGAAGTATCAGTTTCATATGCACAGATAAAATATAATAACTAATGTAATAATTAAATATGCCAAGCTTTGTTACTTAACAGGGATATGGAGATTACAACTGTCAGAATTCCCAGATAGACAAATATTGGTTAAGACTGTATTATATGAATAAAATCAAACAACACTATTGGAACGGAACATCAATTGGCATGGGAAGAGTAGTATATTGATATTACCCAGTTACACATTCTGACGTAACTATGAATCCAGCTGAAATTATGTCTTAGTCCTTGGAGGATTTAAGGGAGGAGGAATGGGTTTATCCTCAATTCCTATGAGCTATAATGGCTATGGATGAAGAAATCAATAGTTTCTAATAGCATTTCTTCTTTGGTCCTGGGTGGTTTTATGTTCTCTCATATGAAGCAACTAGGTAGTATTCTTGGACTCATGATTCCTGCTAGAAAAGCAGGTAGAGACCTTGACCTTTGCACAGCTATATATTGTGCACAAACTGCAACCATTCCTGTGCCGAGAAATTTTGCAAAAGGTCACTTACATCAAGATTAGTGCCTGAGGCTATCCTTGAAGACCATTCAGAAACTATTCTAATTCAGAATGCAACAAGTTAAGTAGTCACTGGTGTATTATGGTCAGCCCATATGACCCCACTAGTTAGGGAACTGCAGTGGTTGTCAGTTTAAGGGCAACAGAAGGTGCTAACCTTTTTCTTTAAAGCCCTTTAAATAATATGACAAAAATATTTATTTTATTGACTGTATTTAGAGGTAGTCCTTGTGTAACAATGGTAATTGGGACCAGGAACTCTGTCACAATAACAGATGATCATACTGACTTAAGCAATAGCAATAGCACTTAGACTTACATACCGCTTCACAGTGCTTTACAGCCCTCTCTAAGCAATTTACAGAATCAGTTGCCCCCAACAACCTGGCTCCTCATTTTACCAATCTCAGAAGGATGTAAGGCTGAATCAACCTTGAGACGGTAAGACTCGAACTGCCGAACTGCTGGCAGCCGGCAGTCAGCAGAAGTAGCCTGCAGTACTGCATTCTAACCACTGTGCCACCACAGCCATTAAGATCGGTTCCAGTAGTTCCAATTATGGCACTTGGGCAAATCCTGTGGAATCATCTGGTGTGATGTCATATGACCTCCTGCTGACTTCCCCATTGACTTTGCTTGTCAGAAGCTGGCAATGAAGGTTGCAAATGGTGATCATTTGATCCTCTGTTATAACATTTGTAAACTGGTTGCCAAGCATCTGAATCACAATCATGTGACTGCAAGAATGCTGTGATAGCCCCAATTTCAATGACTGACTACACATGACTGCTAAATGAATGATCATTAATTAAGGACTACCTGTATAAACTGCCCAACTCAAACAGTGTGGCTCTTGGCAGTGTACAGAAGAATAAAAAGAATCAGAAGAATCATGTAATTTAAAATATACACAATATATAAATATAAAATGTAAAACAGTGACCAGGCACACTAATAAAAAGAACCACAAAGAGTCCAAGCATTTGGGGGGAAAGTCATGTTTTAACAGCTTTCCTAAAGGTAAGCAGAGCTGGAGCTTCTTATTGAGAGGGGGTAAGACAATCCCAGAACACAGGGCCACCCACCAATAAAATAAGCTTATTAAATCCCATAACATAGCAAAACTTAAAAGAGGGAAATTGGATCCTGCCCTTTCCACAAGAGAGTATGGGTCTTGCAAGTAACTCAGTCCTATGCCACGTAGGGTTTTAAAAGTGATAGTGCAGCTTACAGAGCAACAATGTGACATGGATGTAATAAGCTATGTTAACCATAACCCAATAAAAAGCCAAGTATAAGTATGGCCTCTCAGTCTAGGAATGGATGCAACTGGCACACAAGATATAGTTGTGGAAAGGACTCACTAGCCACAATTGCCACCTGCTCTCTGAGAAATCTAGATTGCACACAGGTCTGAACAGGACGGTACCACTCCATTCAGAACCAAAGTCGGAAATACTTTAGCTCCCAGATCTAGGGGATCCAAATCACTCAGTCTTAGAAAGCTTTAGCATTTGTTGGGTCACTGATACTACTCTAAGAAGCATACTGGTGGATGCTTCTACAGCCAAAAATTGGAAACCTTCCAAATGTACTGTCCTATAGGATCCTGGCTTCCCATTGATAGACCACATAATAAATGACACCATGTGTCAGCAGTGTTGCAATTAGCCACCAATAGCCAATGAAATCCAAAAATGGCAGCTGAGATCATTTGCTTTTCATAAATACCCATAAATTGGTCTGGAAGACATGACCTCACAGATAGTCCAGATAGTTCTATTGATGAGTATAGTTATATGATAAATTATGATAATGATGATTGTTGCTATAGTTTTGTTGTTCATTTATTGGTTTTTAACCCAAAACTGTAATGAGATCTGTAAACCGCTCAGAATAATTTTCTGAGAGCCATATAAGCCTTAGTAAAACACACAAAGAAATAGAAAATTAATTTTATTGTGAATAATTGTTTGATATTAATGTTTTCTATCTGTAGATGTAGATGAATGTGAAAGACATCCTTGTGGGAATGGAACTTGTAAAAATACAGTTGGATCATATAACTGCCTGTGCTATCCAGGATTTGAGTTAACTCATAATAATGACTGTATGGGTAAGAGAATGAATAAATAGTACATATAATCACTTAGCAAAAGTGATGATATAATATATTCAAAGAGAAACATGGAAATACTATAATATTTATTTCAGTCCTGCAATCAGAAAAAAATAGGATACTCTTTCAATTTCTTAAGTTTTATTGAGCAGTGTAATTATGATTATACTTTTAACTAATCAGAATTTGCATAAGTTTTGGTTGTCATTTCACATTTATTTGTTGTTGTGGCCTATTGTTATATTTCTATTCCATCAGTTTGTAGTCAAACAAAGCTCTTAATAAGAATGGTAGATAATATGAGGACATTCTACCAAATTTTCTTATGAGTCAAACTCATAGGTCAAATACAGAAGATCCCTAGTTGGCTCACACTTGAAGCAACAAATATTCTATTCCTTTCTAACAATGTTTTTTTTCTGAATTTGGAGTTTTACTTGTAATCAAATACAAATAATTCTACTTTATGGGAGAGGGGCAAATTACCCAAGAATGTGGTTGCTAAACTGTTGCAGTCTGGATTTAGACAGATTTGAGAATAAAATTGGCCCTAATTGCCCTGATAGATTTCCTTTTGTTGGAGAGAAATAAAAGGAGTGCAGTACTGATCCTGCTTGAACTTTTTAGCACTAAGCACAGAATCTTTGGAATCATTTCTGTGGTGGAGGTTTTGACGTTTTACCGTGCATGGTTTTAGAGAGTAGAATTACATGGTTGCACTTCTATTTTGGCATCTATATTGTAGAATTCCACAGAGTATTATCTCCACTATTGAGTTACATATTAACCTCTTTTTCATATATCAACATAAACTATATTTATTCTCCCCATTGCCAGTGAGGCCCTGTCTCTGTTGCATCTATTTAATATCACTGCCAAAGAGAGATGTCTTGGTTAGTAGTTGTGCCAGCCAGCTAGGCAAGGTGATTGTGCTTATCCTCTGATATGCTGCCATATCCCTCCAGCATATTCCCAGCCGGCAATTAAAATATCAACAAGAGTGTAATAATACTATCCATTTGCTCAACCAATGCCTCCCCCCATATTGGAAGATATTCTTTCCTCTGCTAAACTGAAACACGCTTCTCATTTTCCACTATCCAGTAGGTGAATATGAATGGACTGCTTCAACTCAATTTAACTCTTCCTGTGCCTAGAATTTTCTTGAATTGGATAACGTACCAACTGATGCTGGTACTAATTATTAGGGCTATGTGCAAAGATTTGAATGATTCCTTTGCTTCAGTCAAAAACCCAGTCAAAGCAGCCTCCCTTTGTCGTTTTGCCATAAAGTGTTGCAGCCATACTGGCTTTTATATATGCACTAAAGATGAAGATCAAAATTTATATACAAATATTTGTGGTCTTTCTGAATAGATTTCTTTGATGTATGAAATATTAAAAAAATAAAGATTTGTTTAGTAATATCTATTCTTAAATAATCCATATACCTTAAAGTGCTTGAGAGATTATTTTTTTATATACAAGGACCTCATTCCTTACCAGCCATGTTTTGCCATTTCCATGATTTTATCTCTTAGACGTGTTTATCCCTTAATATGCTAACTCTGTCTATATATGTGTTTTCATCGTATTGAACTCAAGACAAATACCTAACTTTTTCTTGTTTATTTATAGATATTGATGAGTGCAGTTCCTTCTTTGGGCAGGTGTGCAGAAATGGAAGGTGCTTTAATGAAATTGGTTCTTTCAAATGTTTATGTAATGAAGGTTATGAACTTACTCCAGATGGCAAAAATTGTATTGGTATGTATAAAAGCAATTATCAAGCGCCTTATGCTACAATCTAATGCACATTTAATAAGCTGCACTGGACATTGCGGAATGTACTTTTACATATATTTTGTAATATTCCTCTGGGTTTTTAGGCACCACCCATAGAACTGTGTAATTATTTTATTTATTTGTTTATTTAAATTTATTGGATGCCCAACATTTAGCTATTTTGGATGCAGATTTGAAGTAGCTTGTTTTCTGTAAGATAAATATACCATTAAATTTCCATGCAAGAGATTTGATTATGCACTGTCAGCAGGGGCTGATTTTAATATTAGATATAATTTTTTGACCTGCATATTTAACAGTTTTTTCAGCCATGTCACTTTCTTGAAGAAAGCAGTTCTATATAGATGAAGCTACTATAAAAAAAAAATCCAGCGAATTAGTGATAGAAATTGGGGAAAGTTCAATGAATTTGTATACAATATTTGCCTATTGTGCCTGTATATTTTATGGTGCAAGCAGTAAAAGTACTGAACTATGACTAGAAATTAAAATTTATCTATATCTATGAGAGTCATTAAGTGCTTATGGGACAGTCTGTCAGCTATATTTACTTCTGCTTCTGTTATGGATAAATAATGAATCTTGCTTTGTAGGATGACAGATAGAATATAAATTTAAGAAATAAATTCAACTCAGAATCCTTAAATTGGCACTTTTTTTCCTCCATTCTATTGAGATATTAATGAATGTGTAGTGCTCCCTGGCTCATGCTTTCCTGGGACATGTCAAAATTTGGAAGGATCATTCAGATGTATCTGCCCACCAGGATATGAAGTAAAAAGTGAAAGCTGCATTGGTAAGGCTGTCTTTTCTTTCTGGAAATAGTTTGCATGGTAACAAAATTGTTTATGGAAATAAAATTCAGGTTATTGTGCTACACACACAAACGTGTGTGTGTTTGTGATCTGCGATACCAGAAACATACTGACCTTCATATTTTAGTAACATGATCTTTCAGATGTTCCCATGCTGAATAAATCTTATGGAAATTGTAGTCAGCAAGCCTTGGACCATCACATATTTCCTGTTTGGTCTATACTCACATTAGTTCCAGGTGGCCTGTTTCTTGATAGTGGCTTTTTGGAACTTAGGAGGTTGTAGCTACATATTTTATACATTGTTTTCTATGAACAAAATTTCCTCTTGAATACAGCACCTGCAATTTTTTTTTATTTGAGATGGATGCCATTTTTATATTCAGCAAAAAGTACCTTTGCTAATTATCTATCAAAACCGTATCTGAAGCAAACAAATAAAAACAAAACATTTTTAATCTAAGGTACATGTGATTTTAAAACTTCTTTTAACATATGGTATCTTGACAATTACAACATTTTCCATCCATTCTGCCATAAAGGGTTGCAATAAGAAGAATTTAATGTTTTAATTATATTTTCAGATATTGATGAATGTAATGAGGATCCTAACATCTGCCTGTTTGGGACCTGCACTAATACTCCAGGAGGATTTCAGTGCATCTGCCCTCCAGGTTTTGTAATATCTGACAATGGCAGGAGATGTTTTGGTAAGTATAAGGTTATAACAGGCAATAATAATAAACTCAAATATTATGAGTGTTAAATTAAGAACAATATGGAATCTTGATTTTTATCAAATAAACATTTATATCTCCCCTTTCTATTTAAAATTTTGTCAGAGTAGTTAAAAGGATAATTAAAATAACAAATTAATTAATCTGTAATTAATTATGTAGATTTGAAAAGTAAATGTAACAAATTTAGCTGTACATGCCTTTTAAAAAATTAAGCAAATGAACATTTAAAAGAAATCTCAGCAGACTTCATGATATAAGGTTGGATATAAAAGTAATTGTTGCTAATTAAGTAGGTACTAAATAACCCTAACTAGTACTACAGTGAATTGTGATTAGTGCAAATTGTTATCGGTAATCTATACTAAGGCTTAATCAAAAACATGGCAGTGTATGGCGAATTACTATTTTCTATTGATGATAAGAGTCTAAGTTGGAATATTTCCAAGTAAGTAGCCTGGATTAATTCATTCTTAATGTGAGATTAATTACAGTGGTATGACTTTGCTTTCTCTCAGATACTCGACAGAGCTTCTGTTTCACTAACTTTGAGAATGGGAAGTGCTCTGTGCCAAAAGCATTTAATACCACCAAGGCAAAATGTTGTTGCAGCAAGATGCCAGGAGAAGGTTGGGGTGATCCATGTGAACTGTGTCCTAAAGAAGAAGAAGGTAGTAAAAACATTGCAGAGCTTTTCAAGAAAAACAGAAAATGAAACATGAAATCCATACATAGTGTCTCCATTTGTAAAACCACATCCTAAATTAAAATATTGGATCTCACTCATCAAGTCATCATATGAAATTGGAAGTAGAAAAACATGAGTTGGAACCTACCATAGAAAAACTTTCTTCATCTGTTTTTATTATCGTCTTATACTAGATGCTGAGTAGTATTACAGCAACAATTACTGATTACATTTTGGACGTACTCTCTTCTTATACAAGAGCAATTGGAAAATTCCCTTGATAGAATTTGTTGAACATTTTATTTAAATTACAGTAGAGAGTTTAAAATATTGCTTTGTATATTCTCTCCTTAGTAGTGGTGTTTCAAAAATTTTCTTTTAACAGTTGCTTTTCAGGATCTATGTCCATTTGGCCATGGAACTATACCTGGAATAGATGATACACGAGAAGGTACTAATTTCCTTCATTATCACACCACTAAATATTTCTATTCAACTCTTGTTTTATATAATAGTTAAACGAAATTATTTATTGGATGGAACTTTTTTAAAATATGATTTATAAATCAAGGGAAGTGAATACAAATTTTATTTCAAGAAAGCTGCTCTGCCTTTAAGTGCAGAATTATCATAAGATAGTACAATGTTGTTTAATATTATTATAGCTAATGCTGGTTTATATCATTAATAAATAAGTAAATTGTTATATCCCATTTACTGCATTAAAAATTAAAGTTGTTTAACAAAAAAAGTGTAATAAAATGTATAAAAACAAATTTAATAAATACTTAAATATATAAAGTAGTTAAAATGTTGATACCAAAATGCTAAACAGTTAGCACTTCACATTTTAAATATAAATCTATAAAAATAATGCACCAAAAGTTAACTAATCACATGTACATCCTGTGTTAATATCCAATCAAATTTAAAATATTTTCAACAATGTCTAATGAGAATAAATCTGGCGAATTACTGAAAAGATATTCTCATATGCTCTTGAAACTACTGTATGAAGAAAATTATAATGAAAATGATGAGCAGATATTATATTTAAAAGTGTGTGGTATGTTAAAGCTTTTTTTCTTTTTTACTCACTATTTTTAACTGAAAAAAAAACTGAAATTCTATTATTCAGTAATGGTACACTGAAATCTTGATGGCAAAACTTTTTCTTTTAGATGTCAATGAATGTCTGGAGAATCCTGGTATTTGTTCCAATGGACACTGCATAAACACTGATGGATCATTCCGTTGTGAATGTCCCTTGGGATACAACCTTGACTACACTGGAGTGCAATGTGTAGGTGTGTGCTGATTCTGTACTGCACCTTGTTTATAGATTGCATGTTTTGTAACCTTTAAAGTTTATAAACTTGGTTTGAATTTCAGTTTTAAAATATTTGTTCGGCCTATTATATTTTAGATACTGATGAATGTTCCATTGGTAATCCTTGTGGAAATGGCACATGTTCAAATGTGATTGGTAGTTTTGAATGCAATTGCCTGGATGGATTTGAACCTGGACCAATGATGAATTGTGAGGGTAAGTTATAGTATGTTTTTATATACACCTGCTAACCTGCTCTGGGTACTTACAGTATATTCAAAAGAGAAAAAGAAGATGATAGGACTATAACAGATTTCTAATTAACTGCTAACTGCTTGGAATTAATCAGTTCAGTGTAAGATGGCCAAAAGGATCACAATATAGCAGGAACACAAATAGGAGCAATGAGTCTCCTGTCTGTGCATTCCTGCATGTAGAGTGGGCTTGAGAAAGTAAAATACATTCATCTGGTGGCCAAGGGACCGCAGGGCACTGGTGAACTGGTGAGGTGTTCACCATTATTATTAACATCCTTTTGCCTTTGTTCTAATTAAGTTTTATTGTTTTAATGTTTTAAATAATATTATTAGATAATAATGATAATTATTTTAGGAATGTATTAATTATTTTAGAAATCAAAAATCCATGTATGACCAGTATGCTAAATTTTGTTTGTTGAGAAAGGACTTCATTAATTCTTATCCCAATCTCTTTCCACACATAACTGCACCACACACAGCATTGAGAAAAATGATTAATTATAAATGATAAGTATACTATTAAATGCAAATGTATTCTGTTTTGTCTTGCTTAGATATAAATGAATGTGCACAAAATCCTTTGCTTTGTGCTTTTCGCTGTATAAATACTTACGGTTTCTATGAATGCACCTGTCCAGTGGGATATGAATTAAGAGAGGACCAGAAAATGTGCAAAGGTAAGGACCTTTTTAGCATGTTGACAACTTAACAGTACTTTTGCCAATATAATTTTTATAGAACAGTGTATTCTGTAAAGTTTCTGAATTTGAAGCATGACAATTTACTGTAGAAGAAAAGGCTATTGCTATAATTATGTCATCTTTTATGAAAGATGGAACTGAGCATTAAAGAACATATGCAGAATGTATAAAGTAATAAAACATGGTGTTCTCTTTGTATTATTAATTAAAAAAATATTGTTCATAAATTATTGAATTGCTACATTATATTTCAGTTTGGCTTTTGATAAGGTTGCAAGAATTGGGATGCCATTCAATTTCCAATTAACTTTGGCATTAAGAAAAAAAATAGGTATGTTTTCTAACATTTGTATTATTTTGCTTTCTGAAAAGATCTCGATGAATGCGCAGAAGATCTACACGACTGTGAATCTAGAGGCATGATGTGCAAAAATCTGATTGGAACCTTCATGTGCATATGTCCCCCCGGGATGACTCGAAGACCAGATGGAGAAGGTTGTATTGGTAGGTACAGAGACTAAGTACTTTGGTCTCTGTAATTAAATTAAAAGCAAACAATTTGATTTAATAATTCATTCTTAGACAGTGGTAGTTTGTGATATTGTGTATTTTATTGCTAGGCACTATAATTGTATACAATTGTCATCAGATTATTAGAGAAGCATCTAAAGAATCCAAATAAGCATTTGTAATACAAATGCAAAAAAGGCTTGTTCATGGACAGTAGCTGGTAACACAGTGGTTCTCAACCTGTGGGTCAGGACCCCATTTGGGGTCGATCGACCATTTCATGGGGGTCGCCAAGCAAGGCTGTCCGCCATTTTTTTTGTCTGCCATTTTTTTGTCCGCCATTTTTTCCCCCTTTTCCAGCAGGTGCCTTACCTCCCTTGGGCTGGGCCAGCTGGTGGTCGGCCTGCTCCGTCTCTGCTGCTTGCCAGCTACGCCTCGGCTGGCGCAGGGGGCGAAACCACGCATGCGTGGCGCTCCTGGGCAGGGAAAGTCCTCGACTTACGACCGGTTGGGTAGTCCTCGACTTACGACCAATTTAGTCCTCGACTTACGACTGGTTTAGTCCTCGACTTACGACCGGTTTAGTGCTCGACTTACGACCAGTTGGGGTCGCGGCATTAAAAAGGTTGAGAACCACTGTGGTAACAGGACGTCTACAAGTAACACAGGACCTTCCACATCCCAGAAACTAAGGCCAGACCTTAAGGACTTAATAACATATAACTGAACACATTGATACAGAGTTTCATGCCAAGACTATGTATAATTCTGCCTGGCATTTTAGTTCCCACGACTACTGAGGAGGAGAACATTGCCAAATCAATTTAGAATCGTAAAAATAAATAATCTATATTTCACAAAGGAATCTCATAATAAAAGGCTTACATACATTATGCTTAGAATGTGTTGAGTCATTTATAAATTGTCATGTGAGAATGAATAATAATTACATTATCAAGCAAACTGAGCTGGCATATTTTATCAGCTCTTAGTAGATGTGCACCTTTGTAGTTTCAGACAGCTGGAAAAAATGAACCTGAAAATTTTGTAATATGTAAAATGCACTACTTTTACTACATAGCTATAAGTATTATGAAGAATTGTCAATGACGAAATAAGAGTTTTAAAATATATTTATTTATTAGAAATTACATCGTCTTATATTATTTGCATGCTAAAACAAAATTTATACTTGTTCAATCCAGCTAGAGCTTCAAATAGTTATTCAAATAACTGCATACTTCCATTCTAATCTTTGACTATTTACCATTTCAGTTTTTTAGCAATTTTACACATCTTTGCATCAAAGCAGATGCAGATAGATCCCTGTCATGCAGTAATTCTTACCTCTTCCTCCTTCCAAAAAACCCCCCCTTCCATTGAAATGTTTTTAGAAAAACAAGTTTATCACAAGTAAAATCATATTGTATTTTCTTTGCACTCAATATAACTAACTTTCTGAAGTTAGGACTTTTTAGCTTTAGAAGGTTTTTTTAATCTACTATCATCAGAAGCGTAGCTTTCATTTTGAATTGTGGGAATTACTGTTACTCTTTTTGCTTTTGTCCTATTTCATTTTTTTGTTTCGTTTTGTTTTCTTGTGATCAAGATGAAAATGAATGCCACAGTAAGCCTGGTATCTGTGAAAATGGTCGTTGTATAAACATTATTGGAAGTTACATATGTGAATGTAATGAAGGTTTCCAGTCAAGCCCATCTGGAACTGAATGCATCGGCAAGTAAATTTATATTCCTTAGTTTCTATGTCTGTTTGTCTATAGTTTATAGGTGCTTCTGACAAGAATAAAGTAAAGATATCTGTTTGAAACATAAAATAGGGATTTTTCACAAAAATCAACCTACACTAACTTTATTATTATTAGGATGCTAAAATCATTTTTAAAAAATTACTTTGATGTAAGAGATATAAATTATCTAATGTGTTGAGATAAACAATCAAATGTTTTGAGTTAAAATTTCTATATGTGAAGTGCTAAGCTGTTACCACAGCTAAAAATCTTCATTTTATTTCATGAAATTTAGATGCTGTTTTTATGAGAATATTTTTTCAAAAAATACAGTTACTCTAGGAATCATGATTAAAAAATGAGAAATTATTTTAACAGAATGAAATGCTTCTTAGTTAAACATGTATGTTATTTCTCCACATTCATTACACAGACAACCGACAAGGTTTCTGCTTTGCTGAAGTCTTGCAGACAATGTGTCAAATGGCCTCCAGTAGCCGTAATCTTGTCACCAAATCAGAATGCTGTTGTGATGGTGGAAGAGGATGGGGCAATCAGTGTGAGATTTGCCCACTCCTAGTAACAACTCAGTACAAGAAGCTGTGCCCACATGGTCCGGGGTATACCACTGATGGGAGAGGTATTCTTCATGGAACCCTCAGACAAGTTTCCTTTTTCTAACTATTGGGTAGTAGGAAGTTGAAGTTGTATAATATTGCCTTTAAAACTAAGGATGCCCTTGATTTTAAAAAAAAAAGAATATTGTAATTTAGCTGTATTGCTTACCAAATGATTTGCAGTGAAAATTTCCTATGCAGCTAATGATTAAAATGGATTGTTTCTATTGATTTAGATTATACAGATTATTCATTGGTAAACAGCAAGAAAATTCATTGTTAATAAATTGTCCAACCTTCCCAATCTCAAGAGAACATACAACATAGTCTCTGTTTATAGGTAGTTAGACAGTAGACTGCTGCTACTGGTCTTGCCTATTCCCTACTTTCCTCCCCTTCAATCACTTCTGCCTAAAACATGCTGTTTCTGTATAGAAGTGAACCATCCAAAAATTGGCACTTCTTTTACACATCGCTACCAAGTATGATATTTTAGTAGCATTGAAATAATTGGTACTAACTGTTGTGATTAAAACTAGTGGGCATCATATTGAAATACTGTAAAGTGAAATTCTTAAACAACTTAGGACAAACTATGGGCTATGAGTGAGACAGAAGTAGCAAAGTTCTGCTGAGGTTTATGGGGAGGGGTGGTGGTTCAAAGGTTCTTTTTTTATGGAAAAAAATTCTCTCATTTCAGAACAGTGGGTAGAAGAATTATTACAAGAGCTTCTACCCTTCCAAAACTCTTGGGATAGTTACACTGAGATTCACTTTATTTATTCATTTATAAAAAAATTATCCTAAATTTTTCAGTGGTTTTTAATTCTTAGTATTCCCTCATTTCCAATCTGGCTATAACACTGTTGGCTTCTCTACTGGTGAATCTTTTTGTCCATGAACAGAAAGGTGTTACATCTTGACATCTACAAAAAACTCAGAAACTCATAGAATTATGGCTACTTAATTAATTTGTATTTGTTTAATGGCACTATTAGCTGTAAATGGCTATGTGCCAAAATAAAAAAAAATGCATCTTATTTTTTATTCCATAGATATTGATGAGTGTACGGTCATGCCAAACTTATGTAGACATGGCCAATGCATAAACACCATGGGTTCCTTCAGATGTTTTTGTAAAGTTGGCTATACTACTGACATAAGTGGAACTTCTTGTGTGGGTAAGTTTTGACTTTTATATTGTATCATATTGTTATATCTATATTATAATCTGTTACATTTTACATTTTGAGGGTGATTTAAAATATTATATTATAAAGTCTCAGGATTTTTCTCCAGATTTCAAAAGTTCTCTACAATCATATTCCTGATTCAAAACAGTCTCATATCAACAGGAATAGTAATTTGATGTCTTTTAACTTAGTCCCTACAGTGGGATCAAAAATAGTGTTCTTGTTCTGTAGAGATCCAAAGCCCTAACAAAAGTCCTTTAATTTTATTTTTTTCTTACATTTTAACTCTCATTCACTCTCTCTTTCTCTTATTATATCACAGCTCAGATTAAAAAGAGACACAGAACAGAGATTTTTTTGAGGAATATAATTTAGCTCAACTTCCCCTTACCCTGACTATTTAAGTTTGGTGAACATAGAAAAGATTCTCATGAAGTTGGAATTCGGAGGTAGAGTTGGTATCATAAATTACTTTAAGCAAGGTAGATTTTTTTCCAGTGCCTCTGGAAATACTGTTTTTATGAAGATTGGCAAGTAGTAATATCACTCTAGTTCAGTGGTGGCGAACCTATGGCACGGGTGCCAGAGGCGGCACTCGGAGCCCTCTCTGTGGGCATGCGTGGCATCGCCCTAGTCCTAGGCCTTCAGCTGGGTTTTATAAAACCTTTTTGCTTTAGGCCTCCACCGCCATGTGCAAAAAAAAAAAAAAAAGTTCAATCAGTCAATTTCAACTTCTCGCGGGAAAAAAAAGATCTTGCAAAGTTGGAATTAATTGATTGAACTTTTTAGTCCCACCAAGTCTGCCATTACCACCGCAGCCACGCCCACCCAATAGGCCATGCCCAGTCAATTGGCCACGCCCAGCCAATGGGCCACATCCACCGGCACTCGACGATGCATAAGTGGGTTTTGGGTTGCAGTTTGGGCACTCAGTCTCTAAAAGGTTCACCATCACTGCTCTAGTTTATAATGTTGTGGTTTGGGATTGAAACTTGCATAGCTTCCTATGTGAACTGTAAACTTGATATTGTGAATTTAAACTTTCTTGAAATATTTTTTTCTCAATCATTTTACAAATTTGATTGCAAATGCTGAATTCTGAACTGAGCTGAAGGATTTTTTCCTTCATTTTTTTTTTTACTAAGTGAGAACTTCAAAAATCTTACTGCCAACTTGTTTGGCCTTTTTGCACTATGATGAATCTTGTCTTTGGTTAGAGCTGAAACATTTTTTAAATAAATGTTAGTCTCTCTTAGGCATTGTCCCCTGGTTTCATTTTGAATCCAATGCTATGGAATAAATAAAATGTAAATATGAATTATTCTTGTAATTAGATCTTGATGAATGCTCCCAGTCTCCCAAACCATGCAATTTTATCTGCAAGAATTCTGAAGGAAGCTACCAGTGTTCATGTCCACGTGGCTATATCCTCCAAGATGATGGAAAATCCTGTAGAGGTAAGAGAATGAGTAACTTAGTGGATTTTCTAACCAATTTTCTTATACAATCATGTTCTTATGTCAGCTAATCAAAACAATAATATTAAATGTGGCCCATTGGATCCAATGTGCTTACAAGGGAATTATCCGTGATGCAATTAAGGAAGAAATAGACATGATCAATATTGGAGTTCTGTCTTTGTGAAACATCATAGTAATGATGTTAAAAAAGAAATTGTATGGCAAACAGTACAATACAATTTCTGCTTGATTACAAGGCATGTAGGGTAAAATAGGAAGTGCTGGCCATATACTTTCATTGAAAAATAATAAAATCATAGAATTCAATTATACCTGTATTGGATTGTTGACATATTCCAGTTCCGTGGGCAAATGTGTAAAGACTCTGCCCTTATTCGATTGTTACTGAGCATTTCTGTGGGTTTTTAAAGATGCTTCTCTATACAAAAATCCTTATGGAAGCATTGCTTAGGGAGCCCTACATCTTTTATACTTTTGCAGGGATGCCATTCCCTTCACCCCAGACCTATTATAAAGGAAACTTCACTAAAGTTACTATCTGCCCAAATGACAGCAGGACAGGCCAGTTGCCAGCATCCACTTCTCTAAAAACAATACAGGCCAACACAGAATATGGGATATTAACAAAATTAGGATCTTGAGAATTCCAAAAAAAAAAGGATAATTTATGAGAAAGCCAGAGAGATTGGATTTTTCTAGGCAAAACAACCAGATGTCCATGGTGGGGTTGGGGTGGCTACTCAAATGATACAATGAGTGCCTTACCGTTGTAATACAAGCTCTACCCTTTTGGTATATCCATTGAGATTCTGCATGCATGTTTGTTTGTAAGGGGTGGCACTTACACTATGGCATTTTTTGTGTTGAATCAAAGAGAGTCTTTTAGCTAATTCACTGCATTTAAAAGCAATTTGGATTGCTATTAAATTTGGAGTTTTATTAAATATTGGATTAGATAAACATTTTACCTTAATTTTTAAAGAAATAAGCACCTTATTTTTCTACTCCTAGATCTTGATGAATGTCAGACTAAACAACATAACTGTCAATTCCTTTGTGTCAATACCTTGGGAGGATTCACATGTAAATGTCCACCAGGTTTCACACAACATCATACGGCCTGTATAGGTAAGGGGTTAATTTTATTGTTTTTGTTGCATGAAAACATGTAACATTTCTCAGATCTCCTTAGCAACAAACAGGGCTAGTAATAAGATTAATAATCAGATTAAGAAGATAGCATTCTTTATTTTTCTTCTGGTATCTGATTTATAAAAAATGAAATGTCATTTTGTAGATAACAATGAATGTGGATCACAGCCTTCACTTTGTGGATCAAAAGGAATCTGTCAAAATACTCCTGGAAGTTTTGCCTGTGAATGCCAAAGAGGTTTCTCTTTAGATTCCACTGGATTGAACTGTGAAGGTAATAAGTTGTGAAAACTGTGAGTGTCATAAGTTACATACCGAAGAGGTATTTCTGGAAATCGCCAGTCATTATTTAATAATCATATTTATATCTGTTAGGCTTATTCATGTACTTATTGGCATCTTTATTATTCACTGGAACTCTTTTAACTCATAGTGTAATTGGAGTGTTGTCATTTATGTGTGGCAGAGCTACTGAAATATCGATTGGAGGGCAGTTTTGAATTTTTGATTGATTATGTGCCATCAAGTTGTTTTCAATGCCTAGTTACCACATTGACAGATTTTCTGTGCTACGTAGATAGATGAGAATCTATCCCTAACCTGGTCTTTCAGGTCTTCTAACAGCCTGCCCATCATCACTGTAACTGAGTCCATCCACATTGCTGTTGGTCTGACACTATTTTGATTGCTTCAGTTGTTTTGTATTGTACTGTTATTTTAATTTCATAAAGCTTTTCAGAGTCCTGTGGAAGGGGATGGCCTACAAATTCAACAAATAAATGAATAAAATAGAGAGAAAATAAAAGAGAGTGGCTGAAATGTACAAAGTATATCATAAATCTTCCGTCCTTTCATTTACCTGAGTCTTGTCTTCTTCTCAACAGCCAACAAGTAAACTGAATTTTCTAACTAACCATATGCAATTGTTACTCCAACCCCAACCTCCAATAAAGCAGCTGCTTCTCATAAATAGTATTTAACTGAATGACTAAGGGTAGAGCTGCCCTCTTGGCCTTTGATTCATAATGATCTTTAAGTGGGAGGCAAAAGAAAACCGAAGTGCAATTTTCCCTGGCTCGTAATGGTTGCAGAGGATTGTTACAGCTTGAATCTACTTTTCTACTAATAAAAACTTTAATAATAATGATCTTGTATATTAACTCAAAAGAAAATCTCAAAGAATGTCATGAATTGTTTTTCTATACATATATGCAAAAAGGATTAGCAAATTATTTACTATTTTATTCTTGCATCTTTTTCTTTATTTTAATATCTTTATTTATAGATGTGGATGAATGTGGCGGAAATCACAGATGTCAGCATGGCTGCCAAAATATTCTTGGTGGCTACAGATGCAGCTGCCCACAAGGATATATCCAGCATTACCAGTGGAATCAGTGTGTGGGTAAGAAACTCATTTTACATAGAATTAGTGATGTAAGGTAGAGAATAAAAATGGTACGTAGAAATCCCAAATATGTTTATTTTATATCATTTGTTCCTTCATGATGCTAATTGTTATACCAACTCCTGCTATTAAAATGCAATATATTTATTCTGTTATTCTGTGCTCTTTAAAATAACATCTATTTCTCTATGCCAATCTTAAAAAAGAAAACCAGGAAATACATTTATTAATATTAGAAATTAGTCACTGTTGTAACAAGCTCTCCCATGATAAAATCTGCATGCTTAAAAAAGTATGTTTTTCAACAGATGAAAATGAATGCTCAAATCCTAGCATTTGTGGTTCAGCTTCATGCTACAACACTCTTGGAAGCTACAAATGTGCGTGTCCCTCTGGATTCTCTTACGATCAGCTCAATAGCGCATGCCATGATGTCAATGAATGTTCCTCTACTAAGAATCCCTGCAATTATGGCTGTTCCAATACTGAAGGCGGATACCTCTGTGGCTGCCCTCCGGGGTATTACAGAGCAGGACAAGGGTGAGTAGTTGATGGCGACAGAATCTTCCTGCATCTTTTACAAAACCGTGAACGACTAACATATTTTACTATGAAGCAGTTTCTACTATCTTGAAAGAGTCGATTCTCAATTCATTAATAAGGAAGTTAATGTTTTCTACTAGTGGAATCTCTGATCTCTGGTTTGTGATCTCTGAGTTCATACTATGCTTTCATGAGAGACTGAATGTTTAAAATAGTTAATAGAGACAAACTATAATTTTTGTTACAATCTATTCCTCCACAAAAAAGGAATGTATGTGTAACATCTGTCCAAGTCAGTGCCGATTATCATCCCTTTTTTAAACAATACTACCAGACAGTTACAGACTCATTTGCTACAGTGTTCTCCAACTTTCCACTGAATGCATGCTGTTCTAGTTAAGTTTTTGTTAGGCAAATCATAATCCTGTTGCTTAATCATGAAATAGGTTTATTTATGAAACTGAATAATATGGCAGCTGTAGTGTTTACATTACAACAATACACAGTTTACAATGTGTAATGCAGATTGGATGAAAATTAAATATGTGGATCAGATCCAGAGTAAAACCACCATTGACAGAATAGCCTTTTTCAGGAGGAGTAGATTTAATCGGTAGAGTTTTTCAGTTACCTAAATTATGCAAGAGTACTCTTATTTTCTGCGGTATCCTATGTCTCCTCTCCACCATTGTTCCATGAGTTGAATCATTCTGATCCGATCCTAGAAGTTGTTTCCCTTACAGCATGCCCACAGTGATCTAATCGTACTTTGGTGCTTAGCAATTGGCAATAATTACAGATAGTCCTCGCTTAATGACCATTCGTTCAGTGACCATTCAAAATTACTACGGTGCTGAAAAAAGAGAGTTTTGAGCAGTTGCTGCAGCACCCAAGCGGACACATGATTGTGATTTGGGCACTTGTCATGGCCCCATCAGAGCCTGGTTCAGAGGAGGAGGAGGAGTTGGAACCGGGACCATCCAACAGGGATGGCACTTCTCCCTTGGCATGTTTGAAGAGGTCAGGGGCTAAGGACGATGCTGTCCCAGGCCCCTCAGGCTTTGTGGGACGTGGTCGACCAGTCGGAGAGCTGCCTGCCTTCACAGACACAGGGGAGGGTTGGCTGCTGACAGGTAGTGGTGCTGATAGGTAGATAGAACTCCTCTGATGAGGAACAGCTGCCACTCAATCCAAAGGCACAGAGAGCGGAGCATAGGTAAGCCCAGAGAAGGGTTGCAAGGCTACTCGGGACATCACTCCACACCTCCTCATCAGGAATACCTGGAGTGGAGTGACTTAAGGAGAAGCCGTGGGGAGTTAATCTTTGCCGAGAACAATTGTCTGTCTTGAATTACATTCCCCCGGCTTTGACTCTGTCCCTTTTGCCTTGCTTCGAGGACTGCTTTTGTCTTCGCTTGAGGACTCTCGTTTCTCTTGCCTTGGCCTCGTGGACTGCCTTTGCCCTTTGCTTTGCTTTACCTTCAGAACTGCCTTTGCCTTGTATCTTGGCTTTGCCCCGGGGACTGCCATTTTTCTTATGCCTGGACTTTGCCTTGTGGACTTTCCTGATAATCTGTGGGCTGCTGTTGGGAGACTGAGAGTGGCTGCCTTCAGGGTAGCATGGGGTGGAGCCTTACCACTCATTGGAGGGCCATTTGTTGAACACTTCCTGAGGGCAATAAAGGCCTGCCTTGCCTTGACCACCTGAGTCATAACAGCACTTGGCAGATCATTCACACGTACGATGGGTTGCCAAGTGCCCTACAATCACGTGATCACCTTTGGCAATCTTCCCTGCTGGCTTTTCCAGAAAGTCTACAAAGTCACAAGCCATTGCTACCTAGTTGGTTCCTGGCTGGAAAAGGTCCATCCCAACATCTAAGAGTGGGTTTCAGGACAGACCTTTTTCAGCCAGTCTCCTTGATGGTGCTGCTTGCTGGAGAAATGCCACCCCATCTGGGGCAAATGCCACCCCTCTTTGGCAAACAGGAGGGGAACCCCAGCACTGGGTTGGAAAAAATGGTCACAAATTCCCTTCTGTGCACAGCGGGGAGCTGCCTGTCCTCCTTGATCAGGCAGTTCTTTTGCTTCATCTGCTTAACAACTGCAGCTGGGAAAGTCAGGGTGCAGTCATAAAGTTCAGTCAGATCACATGGCGACCCGCTTTATGACTGCCATAACTTATGACCATAATTCCAAAGCTAATGATGGAATATATCATTAATAGTCCCAGTGAGGTATTTATGACATCACATCACCTTGAAGGGGTACCATCAAATGAAGACACGAGGATACAATTTCTGATTTTCATATATAAAAATAGCAGTAATGTATATTGAGAACTTCAGCAATAAAAATATATCATATTTAATTTCATTTATATTAGCTTTTTAAGTATATGTGTATCAGTGACTTGCCACTCTACAGAAAAAAAATGGAAATGTATTCCTTTGTCTTATAAACTTTTGTTCCATTGCCACTGTTTTTGGTATTTTGTTTTAATATGTAATATATATATATAAAGTTTAGAAAGGAATAAATCCCTTCTAAAACTAAGCTACTGACAAAGGTGAAAGGTAAAAGATTCAAAACATTGAGAAGTAAATGCACAATTAAAGTATGCATTTTGTTTATACAAAATCATTACAACTTGTGTTTTTATCTGCATAACAAACAAATCACTCATTCCTCTTATGAACTAGCAACATGGCAACAAAAAGGCTTATTTCTCCAGGTGATAATATTATGACATTATTCATCAGGCACTGTGTCTCCGGTATGGGATTTAGCAAAGGCCAGTATCTACCAGTGGATCAAGGAGAAGAGAATGCTTTATCCCCAGAAGCTTGTTATGAGTGTAAAATTAATGGATACTCCCAAAAAGATAGCAGGAAGAAAAGAAGCCTCAACCAATTGGAGCCTGCAGAGGTAAGCAAAAACTGCACAACTGATTTGCACTTGCTGTTCCAGATCTAAGCAATATCATCCACTGAATTTGTCAGAATCTTATGGGTCTTTAAAAAGAAACTACTATAATCTTGCATTATTAGCATCAAGAGCGTTATTCTTTTGCCCACTTACATGAGTTTGCGTAGAGCTAGTGTAGAATGTGTAATCATTATGCACAGTAATTTTGCCCTTCCAATTTCAAAGAGATTTTGTATATAAAAACAGAACAAAATAATTGGATTGGAATAATTGAAATTGGATTGATGAGTAATCAATCATCAGAGGAAAAGACTCTACTACTGAATATTGAGGAATCCTGGAAAAACTCTTATCAAATTAATCTTCATGTGATTACTAAACTTGATGTAAGCCACTCAGATTCATTTTAGAATTATGGCATGTGAGTCTCAGAAATTAAAATAAAATAAATCCAATCTATGATTTTGTTCCCGTTTACTGAATCCCACTCTCAATTCTTGCCTTTTTCATGCTTCACAGTTATTCTAACCATTAGTCATTATAATTGCAATGAAATTTCAATGCATAATGGAATGGATATTGCATGCAATGGATCAATGTTCACTGCAGTTTATATAATTTGCCTAATTATGATTATGGTAATGATACAAATGTCTTCATGTGTGCAGAGGGCATCACACAAATGATGTAAACCTCCATGGTGATAGGCTTTCCAATTTATCAGATACTTGTTGATATATCCACGCTTTCCCCACAATTGTTTTATTAAAATGAAAGGAGAGTGAAATGAGATTTTCTCATCACGGGTAGGAATTACTCTATGTTGATCTTCCTCTAGGGACTTCATCACGTGGATGCTTTGTTCCTACTAGTTAACAAAACATAGGAAATAAAATATCACACATCTGAAGGCCTATGTGTGAGGAAGGCTGCTTTGGTGGTATGATAAAAGTATGTTGATCTGTGGAGATTCTCAGTCATCTAGGTCAGAGGTAGTCAACCTTGGCTCTTTTATGACTCGTGGACTTCAATTCCCAGAGTTGAAGTCCACGAGTCATAAAAGAGCCAAGGTTGACTACCCCTGATCCAGGTCATGGTTGTCCCAAAGGTGCTTTTTCAAAAGTCAAGTGGACTTTCTTTGTTTTTTCCTTGAAAATATTTTGCTTCTCATCCAAGAAGCTTCTTCAGCTTCTGTGTTGATCAGTATTTCTGATCAGGTCCTATGCAAATTCTATGTTTTCCTATTGAATAAATTACCCAGTAAATTAGCAGAGCACAAAAAGATGATATTTACCCTTGTTTCTGTAAATTTCATGCTGGATTAAGTATTCTGGGAGAGTGGTAAATGTCCAATGGCTTTGCATACATGCTTTGAAATGCATTTTCTGGCCCCGAGGTCTCAATACCATTCTAGAGCCAGTAGCAAGAAAGCAGCAATGATGGAAAATTAGAATAATTAATCATCTATGGTAAAAAAAAAAAATCTAAAAGAAATATTGAGGTTTGCCTATGCCTTTTGCTCTACCTTTTATTTCTGGTTTAACAGATCAGTTTGGAAAGTTTGGACATTGATCTCCCATTGAAGATGAGATTCAGCGTAACTGGCCTTGGCAATAAAGAACACATATTAGATCTCATGCCTGCAATAGAGACCCTCACAAATCACAACCGCTACGTTATCTCCTTTGGTAATCACAACAGCACCTTCCGGATTCATCAGAAAGATGGGCTCAGTTATCTTCAGGTTGCTAAGAAAAAAGCCACAACTGGTATTTATACACTGGAAATAGTTAGCATTCCCCTGTACAAAAAGGAAGAGCTAAAGAAATTGGAAGAACGCAATGAGGACAACTACCTCCTAGGAGAACTTGGAGAAGCTCTTAAAATGAGACTTTGGATTGAACTCTATTAAAACCGTCCTTCCTCACTCCCATCATGAAGGATTCTGTTCAGATATCATATCACATATACTTTGGTTTTGAAAGCTTTAAAGGGGTCAGTAACTTACTTTTTCAGAAGACCCAAAATTGCAAATAGTGACCTCTGCATCCTCCTGTCCTGAACAAGATTGAAGAACAGACCTCAACCTTTCTATTACCAAACCTTGATTACAATGCCAACAATCATGATTACTATACTGTCTATACAATATCAATTTTAAATATATTTTTTAAAAAAAGAAAATGTGCTTAAAAGATCATATATGGCACTAAATGGCACAAAATGTGAGCTACTTTTTTCCTATAAGCACTCTAGCATATTGATGGTTTTGCTGTAGTCCCTAAATTAAAAATAGAGATTTTATTTATTTTTAATGCAATAATATATGGAGAAATTAACAATCGGNCGTCATCTTCAGGCTGGTGTCTTCAGCTTCGTGTTTCTTAGAAACACGAAGCTGAAGACACCAGCCTGAAGATGACGAATGTGACTTCGTCGAAACGTTGCGAAACGTTGCCAAGGTACTTTTAATATATATATATATATATATATATATATATATATATATATATATATATATATATATATATATATATATATATATATATATAAAGTTTAAAAAGGAATAAACCCCTTCTAAAACTAAGCTACTGACAAAGGTGAAAGGTAAAAGATTCAAAACATTGAGAAGTAAATGCACAATTAAAGTATGCATTTTGTTTATACAAAATCATTACAACTTGTGTTTTTATCTGCATAACAAACAAATCACTCATTCCTCTTATGAACTAGCAACATGGTAACAAAAAGGCTTATTTCTCCAGGTGATAATATTATGACATTATTCATCAGGCACTGTGTCTCCGGTATGGGATTTAGCAAAGGCCAGTATCTACCAGTGGATCAAGGAGAAGAGAATGCTTTGTCCCCAGAAGCTTGTTATGAGTGTAAAATTAATGGATACTCCCAAAAAGATAGCAGGAAGAAAAGAAGCCTCAACCAATTGGAGCCTGCAGAGGTAAGCAAAAACTGCACAACTGATTTGCACTTGCTGTTCCAGATCTAAGCAATATCATCCACTGAATTTGTCAGAATCTTATGGGGCTTTGAAAAGAAACTACTATAATCTTGCATTATTAGCATCAAGCGCGATATTCTTTTGCCCACTTACATGAGTTTGCGTAGAGCTAGTGTAGAATGTGTAATCATTATGCACAGTAATTTTGCCCTTCCAATTTCAAAGAGATTTTGTATATAAAAACAGAACAAAATAATTGGATTGGAATAATTGAAATTGGATTGATGAGTAATCAATCATCAGAGGAAAAGACTCTACTACTGAATATTGAGGAATCCTGGAAAAACTCTATCAAATTAATCTTCATATGATTACTTTACTAAACTTGATGTAAGCCACTCAGATTCATTTTAGAATTATGGCATGTGAGTCTCAGAAATTAAAATAAAATAAATCCAATCTATGATTTTGTTCCCGTTTACTGAATCCCACTCTCAATTCTTGCCTTTTTCATGCTTCACAGTTATTCTAACCATTAGTCATTATAATTGCAATGAAATTTCAATGCATAATGGAATGGATATTGCATGCAATGGATCAATGTTCACTGCAGTTTGTATAATTTGCCTAATTATGATTATGGTAATGATACAAATGTCTTCATGTGTGCAGAGGGCATCACACAAATGATGCCAAGTAAGTTTTTGTGCCATTTGATGATGCCATCACACATATGATGTAAACCTCCATGGTGATAGGCTTTCCAATTTATCAGATACTTGTTGATATATCCACGCTTTCCCCACAATTGTTTTATTAAAATGAAAGGAGAGTGAAATGAGATTTTCTCATCACGGGTGGGAATTACTCTATGTTGATCTTCCTCTAGGGACTTCATCACGTGGGTGCTTTGTTCCTACTAGCTAACAAAACATAGGAAATAAAATATCACACATCTGAAGGCCTATGTGTGAGGAAGGCTGCTTTGGTGGTATGATAAAAGTATGTTGATCTGTGGAGATTCTCAGTCATCTAGGTCAGGGGTAGTCAACCTTGGCTCTTTTATGACTCGTGGACTTCAATTCCCAGAGTTGAAGTCCACGAGTCATAAAAGAGCCAAGGTTGACTACCCCTGATCCAGGTCATGGTTGGCCCAAAGGTGCTTTTTCAAAAGTCAAGTGGACTTTCTTTGTTTTTTCCTTGAAAATATTTTGCTTCTCATCCAAGAAGCTTCTTCAGCTTCTGTGTTGATCAGTATTTCTGATCAGGTCCTATGCAAATTCTACGTTTTCCTATTGAATAAATTACCCAGTAAATTAGCAGAGCACAAAAAGATGATATATACCCTTGTTTCTGTAAATTTCATGCTGGATTGAGTATTCTGAGAGAGTGGCAGATGTCCAATGGCTTTGCATACATGCTTTGTAATGCATTTTCTGGCCCCGAGGTCTCAATACCATTCTAGAGCCAGTAGCAAGAAAGCAGCAATGATGGAAAATTAGAATAATTAATCATCTATGGTAAAAAAAATAATCTAAACAGAAATATTGAGGTTTGCCTATGCCTTTTGCTCTACCTTTTATTTCTGGTTTAACAGATCAGTTTGGAAAGTTTGGACATTGATCTCCCATTGAAGATGAGATTCAGCGTAACTGGCCTTGGCAATAAAGAACACATATTAGATCTCATGCCTGCAATAGAGACCCTCACAAATCACAACCGCTACGTTATCTCCTTTGGTAATCACAACAGCACCTTCCGGATTCACCAGAAAGATGGGCTCAGTTATCTTCAGGTTGCTAAGAAAAAAGCCACAACTGGTATTTATACACTGGAAATAGTTAGCATTCCCCTGTACAAAAAGGAAGAGCTAAAGAAATTGGAAGAACGCAATGAGGACAACTACCTCCTAGGAGAACTTGGAGAAGCTCTTAAAATGAGACTTTGGATTGAACTCTATTAAAACCGTCCTTCCTCACTCCCATCATGAAGGATTCTGTTCAGATATCATATCACATATACTTTGGTTTTGAAAGCTTTAAAAGGGGTCAGTAACTTACTTTTTCAGAAGACTCAAAATTGCAAATAGTGACCTCTGCATCCTCCTGTCCTGAACAAGACTGAAGAACAGACCTCAACCTTTTCTATTACCAAACCTTGATTACAATGCCAACAATCATGATTACTATACTGTCTATATAATATCAATTTTAAATATATTTTTTAAAAAAAGAAAATGTGCTTAAAAGATCATATATGGCACTAAATGGCACAAAATGTGAGCTACTTTTTTCCTATAAGCACTCTAGCATATTGATGGTTTTGCTGTAGTCCCTAAATTAAAAATAGAGATTTTATTTATTTTTAATGCAATAATATATGGAGAAATTAACAATCGGTGTTAAAAGGAAAAAGAAAACACTTGTTTTTCTTTGCAATTTTATGAATTCGAACTATTACATGTATTAAGTATTTTAGAAAAAAGAACAGAAACTAATAGATTGAAAAAGTTTCCTCTCAGTCTTGTGCCTATTGTCCATAAATCATTAAAAAATGTCATATGTTCAAATGAGCACTGCAATATTCTACGCAAGGGCTTTCTTTTCCCTAGACAAGATATTTAAGTAATGCCTTATCTTAAATAACCATGATCAGAATTTCAACTTTAAACTTGGTGCTGATACTCAACATACACATCATAAAAACTAGATTTTTCTATCAGAGAAGACCATGGAAATGATGCACAACCACTGTAACAAAATACCTGGAAATGTCTGTGATATCCTTAGTATTGCAGGCCAACCCGTACTGTATTTCCTTCAGGTAACCTCACTATATCACACAAACCTCATTAACTACAACAAAAGGTGCTTGAACTATTTGCATTACTGTAGGCAGCTGATTACAAATCATGTATTCTTAGAAGTGAACACTTGATGTTTCATTCTAAGTGGTGCTGGCTTGAATTCATCCTGAAGTAAACATGGCTGAGCTATTGCAAAATTGTCATATGTGTACACTATTCATACTGCATGGGGAAAAAAACACATATTGGAAAATAAGAATGTTCATTAATGCTGTAGTTATACACAATATGTCTCATTTTATCATAGCCTATTTTATAAGTTACCCTTGTACAATGTGTTGGCATTTAGTTTAGTGTGTTGTTTAATTTTGTTTTAATTTGTCATTTAATAAGTGTATGTCACCATGGTGCTATAAATAAAAACTGGTACTTGTTACAGGTCATATAAAAAAGCCTCACATGTGAACCAACACAAAGCACATTCCATGCCTGCTTTTCTTGGGTTTTTTTTTTAACCTTTACTGATCAAAAAATACCAGAAATTATGCTCATTGTTTTGGTTCATACTCTGTATTTTCTGTGTATTTTCTTTTATGAAAAACAGAAAACCTTGTAAAGTGCATTTTGAAAAGAAGCAGTATTATTTTTTGGGCTTTTGTACTAATACAGCATCACTTTTTCTGAAATAAAACTTATTTTCCGGTAGCTACATTATTTGGTTTTGATATGGTGAGATGGTCAACCTTATAACATTAGGAGTGAATGATGATGACAGGATGTGTTTTCTTTCCTTATTTTCAATTTTGCAGAACCTGCACAGGACTATTATTTCCTAAGTGATTTGTAGCACTTTTCCTGAGACACAACTGAAAATCTTACTATGAAAAATAGGGCAGGTAGAAAATATGAAAAAGGGTTTGATTTGTAAATTGTGGGTCAAAGTATCCCGGGAATCTGAATAATGCATTCAGTTAATGACTTGGTAATTTTATTTAACAGGCTGTGTTAAGTGGTGCCCCTCAATTAATCACTTACAACAGAGGTCCCCTTTTGGGCACCAGGGACCGGTTTCGTGGAGAAAGGCTTTTCCACGGACCAGAGAGTGTGTGGCTTTGTGTGCTGCCTGCATCCCATGGATGGGGCTTTGTTTGTGCAGCCTGGTTGCTGGCATGCCACAGCCCAGTACTGGTCCACGAACTGGGGATTGGGGACCCCTGACTCATGTGATCTAATCCACACAGGTAGAAAGAGCAGTAATTTCAAGGCCTCGAGATTTTTCTTTCCCTGCGGAGCACAGAGGAGTAGGAGTAGGGCTAAGGAAGGGAATGGAACAGAACAACTCACTGTGGCCAACTCACCACGGGACAACTTGCTGTGGGACAATTCAACAATTCAATTTAATTCACATTTCATTTTGTCCCTCCTTTTACCTGCTTTTTGTAATGATTCTATTCCATCAATTCTTCAATATGTAATACTTGTCCTGCATAGAGTTGTCCCGCTGTGAGTTGGGCATGGCAAGTTGTTCAGCGAGTTGACCATGGCCAACTTAGGAACAGCAAGTTGACCATGGCAAATTGGCCATGGCGAGTTGGGCATGGCAAGTTGTCCTTGACCCGGGAAACCCGCTGCCTGGGTTGGGTCTCAATATGCCTTGGTCACAGCATTTAGTGGCATGACAGCTCTGGTCCTCCCACATTTAGGTCCCATGAGATCATACTCGTATAGAAAGGAGTTGAGGATTCCCATCCCATGAGGGCTTCTTGGTGGCTGTCCTGACAACCTGATTCTTAAGAAGAAGGACCTTAAAAGCAGTTTTTTATTGTGAGATCCTTCAGGGTGCCGATGGTCTCCTTACAATACTTCTGTTTTATTACATAGGATTCTAAACCTCCTTGAGCACTATGAAAAATAGGTAATGTAGAAATCAGTGCATATGATACGTACATCGTTATTTCTGGCAAAGCATTTTTAGGCAATTCATAAAAATTCTGCTAATACTTTATCTATTCTGATGGCTAGCAGAATCGGGCAGAAGGATGTGAGTCATGTGGGGCCCCATGTTTATTGTTTAAAAAATGGTGATAACAGATTGAAGCTAGCCCTGCCTTCCCCTGAACAAAAGCGTTCTTTGTATTCTGGAGAAGGAGGCAAGACAAACAGGCTTCAAGGTCAGCTGTCTTCTTGCACCAATGTTCTCAGTTTGACAGGGAAATATTTCCTTAATCCTCAACAGATTTAATGTGCTTTTACCGATTTAACACTTCCAATTTATGTACATCTATAAAACGAATTTCAACTTGCTATAAGCTCTTCATTAAGAGGGGGCAAAGTATATTAAATCATAGAAATTATTGCTGGAGATTTACTAAGCCAGAGGCCCCCAACCTTTTGAGCACCAGGGACAAGTTCCGTGGAGAGAGGTTTTTCTGAGCATGGTTTCATGTACTGCCTGCATCCCGTGGATGGGGCTTTGCTTGTTTGCACGGACCAGTTTCTGGCATGCTGCAGCCCAGTACCAGTCCACAGACCGGGGGGTTGGGGACCCCTGTACTAAGCTATACTTTTTAAATACCTGATTTAATTATTTTTGAAGATCTTCTGACTTTATTGTTTGGAACAGAATATGACCAAAGTTGCTGTGGTCCTGGATGTTTACAGGCTTTCTGCTTTTGTCAAAATGGCTAAGTAGTGTGGCACTGTTGTGCTGTGAACTCCCCCTTCATAGGTACATGCAAAGCAGTGCAATGTCAATGTGTGTGCTTGTGTCACAAAGGGCCTGATGTGGTTTTCCATCTTTCTGCCCTTGCACATCGCCCTCATCCCAGATGCTGGCTCTTGAGAGTAGCCCAGAGAAAACAAATTGGAGACAAATACATTGAAAGGCCAATTTGGAAAGAAGGGAGGTTTATAAGGAATGATGCAGATGATCACCTGGAGGTAAAGCAATGTAAGGAATCGGTCTTTAGTCTTAAGGGGTCCTTGATGCTCTCTGAGTTTGGTTGTTTCCATGCAGATGTTTCATTACTCCAACTAGGTAAGATCATCAGTGCATTGTCTGCAAAAAAACAACCAAACTCAAGATACTAAGGACCCCACATTTCATCCCTGAGCTACAACTACCAGTATTCTCCTTTACTGGATCACTAGTCTTTTCCAGAAATCAGAATGAGACAAAGCAAATGATAATCTTTTAATCCTTGACTTTCTTCTACTCCCCCAATCAACTCTTCTGATTGGGGCCCAATTGCAAGAAACACTCTAATATGGAAGAAATTTTAGTATCACTCTTCTTTCTCCTTTCCCCCATATGGCATGTTAGCTACATGTTAAAAAGATGGTTCCCCTTTTAGTGCAGCTACTCTGGCAAATGACATTGGAATTTGTAGAGCCCAGAAACCAGACTGGCAGGGTTCAGACCACCTGCTGCATGCCAAATAAATGGAAAGGTAGTGAAAATGATTGTAAGAATTAAACCCAGATTTCAACCACACCTGTTGTGCACTTATGCTGGAACTCTTACACCTGTCCTTATTGAACTGAGTAAGCCTGAATGTGTGCCTTTGCATGTGAAAGCGTAGCAAATTGATTGTAGTGATCAGTATCTGCAGCACTTCCAGGCCCATTTGTCCCAGCTAACCTGGCAAATTATCACGGTGGCTAAGAATTATGGGAAATGTAGGCCAACCTATGTGGAGGTGCATTCCTTACATTCAGTTCAGTTTTCAAATTGTACCTGATAATACACAGAATCAGGTTCTACTTCATTCTTCCCTTCTTCAAAGACTGTTAAAATAGTTGGCTGCACTCGGCCCTACCTTTATTTAAATGTCTGCCTCCTTTGCTTTTGAAAGCAGCACAAGAAGATTGAAAAAATGCTGGCTTTGGAATTTAAGGGCAAAGAATCATCAGCATTGTCTCACCAAATGCTGGAGAAGGGGGAATGACCAGTGCAAAGTTATCTACGCTATAAATAATATTTAAAGTTCTGTTCTGAGAGAATGGTTGCTTTATTTCGATTAAATATTTAATATTTATTAATATTAGTTCAATGATCCTTCTCCCCAGTGCTTAATCCAAAGACACTGGCAGAAACTCCTCTAATATGACCTCAGATCTTTTTTAGCCTGAATTTGTACACATTGATAATTTTAGTTCAATTGTAGCTCTTGGTTTGTTAAATGTTCATATGGGTTCAGAAAGAGCTTCTAAAAGAAAAAAGTTGCCCTAAATATCTGTATTTCAATGTATATTTTGCTAAAAACACCATAAAAGTCATTCTTGCCTGCTCTATAGAATTAGAATTAACAAAATTTCCTGAATATTGTGTAGGTAGTGCTGGAACTAAAGGAATAATTTCAATTTGATGACTTTGCTGAAAACCTTACGCAATCTATAATACAAAAGTCTAGGCACTGAACCAAAAGAAGTTCATTGCATTGATATATTGAGGTTTTATTCAGTGCATGGAGGGTACAAAATGTGGCAGCCACAGCAGTCATTTTGGGTCAGTGTCTATAGTTTGATATTAAAATCAACTTAAGCAGCATTTGTAGGATTTTTCTCTGACCACAAGATGGCGCTTGACAACTTCCATATGACCGTTCTCAATTTCTGTTTCCCGCTTGACATACTATCTGGTTCAGTTCAAACTGCTAAACTGCGTAGATGGGAATGGAGAGGGCAGTGGAGAGATGCTTCTAGCAACCTTGCTGGAAGGGAAAACAAATTGGAGGGAGATAAAAAGGACTTTTTCTATCATTCTTCAGAAATATTTTTCTGAATAATTTTCTAATTCTGCAAAAAAAAACAAAAAAAAACAACCCGACAATAAAACAATATTTGCGTATTCAAAAAAACCCCAAAACAAACAAAATTGGTATACCTGCTCCTTTTTCCTGGAGGAAAGTAAATGCAATGGAAGCCTAACATTCCAGTCCAATATAAGCCTAGCTTCTTCCAAAGAGAAGTCTAGGTTTGAACCAGGACATTGGAGTTCAGCCATTATTACTATCTTTCTCTCCTTCCTTATTCTAAGGCAAGCTACTAGGGGAGGACTAGCATGGTTGACTCCCTTTGGTATCCATAGTGTGGTTATCCAGCCAAATCTGTAACGCCATTACTCACATACAACCTCCCCCCTCCCCAGGGAAAATGGTCAAGCTCAAGTGTTTCCATTTTGGATGAACAAAACCAGCCCTGCAGTGATTTCTAAGGATGCTACTCAGCAGATGACCTTCTAAATCTCCAGGTTGCTGTGAATGCTGTCATTTGGGGTCACTGGCAGAAACTGGGAAATGAAGATGCCAATATCTGTTGAAAATTCAAACTCCAATGGCATGACACTTCAGTATTTTCAGGATCTATTGGCCACAGTGATGGCAAACCTTTTAGAGACCGAGTGCCCAAACTGCAACCCAAAACCCACTTATGCATCATCGGGTGCCAGGTGGTGTGGCCCATTGGCTGGGTGTGGCCAATTGTGTGGGTGTGGCCCATTGGGTGGGCGTGGCTGCAGTGGTAACAGCAGACTGGGTGGGACTAAAAAGTTCAATCAATCAATTCCAACTTTGCAAGATCTTTTTTTTCCCCGCGAGAAGTTGAAATTGATTGATTGAACCTTTTTTTTTTTTTTGCACATAGTGGTGAAGGCCTAAAGCGAAAAGGTTTTATAAAACCCAGCTGAAGGCCTAGGACTGGGGCGGTGGCGCGAGTGCCCACAGAGAGGGCTCTGAGTGCCGCCTCTGGCACCCGTGCCATAGGTTCGCCACCACTGACATAGGGAATCAGACAAAGTACACAAACAGAATAAATTCTTTTAAAAAAAATCTTGCCTTTATTTTTTATAAATAACTCAAGATAGCGAACATATCCAACACGCCTTCCTCCTATTTTCCTCACAATAACCACCTTGTGTTGGGCTGAAAGAGAATGACTGTCCCAAAGTCACCCAGCTGGCTTTCATGCCTAAGGTGGGACTAGATTTCAGTGTGTCCTGGTTTCTAGCTTGATGCTTTAACCACCAGTTCAAATTGGCTATCTGCCTGCGATAGGAGGTAGCTAATATGAGGTTATTTCTTCCTGCCTCTTCTCAATCACATGGAGCATGGAACGTAGTTAGGTCAGTGCTCAGTTGCCTATCTTACAATGCATTTTCTGTTACAATTAAAAACCTGCCTTGCTAATTGTTGCTCACAGTAAGATTCTCACCCTCAGGAATGCTCACAAGTCCACAGAGAAAGCTTCTGCCTCTAACAAGATGCAGGTAGTTAGAGCCAATGTAGCTAAGCAGGTGAAAAAATAAAATAGCAGCTTATTTTCCCTGTGGCCCAGCTTAATATTTGGATAGGAGGATTTGCAATTTTAGATTCGAGCTCATGACCAGAAAAATATCTATCTTGAAACCTGTTAAACCAAACACTAACCAGACTAGAGCTAAAAAGGCACTTATTCATAATTCTGTATAGATTTGTGAATCATTGGAGTATTTTCCTGAACTCCTTCTGGGCATCTTAATGAATAGAACAGGGTTTCTGTAAAACTGTGAAGTACGTCAGCTGAAGATGATGACAAGTAATGGGAAAAAGCAGAGATAATTTTGTCTTTCATTAACAGTCTCACAAAAAAAATCTGAATACAAAAAATGAATGTAAAGCAACCCATTTTCGCAAGAAGTATTGCAATAAAATAAAGCATGATTATAGATCAGTTGAATTTTTAAAAAGCATTAAAATTTGATAGGAACTGCATAATTAACCACCAGTTCCAGCTCAGTGACGCTGAACATGAAGTTGAAGAAGGGGGTGGTTGCAATGCAACACCCACTGTTATCAAAGACAAGCCAGGATAACTATCCAGCTCTTGTCTCAGAGAACTGTGGCCCTCCAACTGAAGAATAGCCGAGCCCCAAACAAGGTCAGGAAAAAAAAGGATTTTTAAATGCAATTAAATAAAATTGAAGGATGCAAGCGCAGCAATGGCTGGAAAAAATATTTTCCTGGGACTGGTTGCTTGCTGAAGAATGTGCTTCTTTATAGGTTTGTAAATAAAGCAATTGTGATGGCTCTAGAAGTCTCAAGTGCTTCTTATTCCCATTTTTGTGTGTGGATAGTTATTTTGAATCCTTAACAATTGACACTCCTCCATCATGATGTTACAAAACAGCACAGATGGCACAACCCAGGTATCATTAAAACTACTCCCCTTCCCCCCCCTCCCTAAAAAGTGCTTCAAGCAATTTCTAGATCAGTGGTTCTCAACCTTTTTAATGCCACGACCCCCAACCGGTCGTAAGTCGAGGACTAAACCGGTCGTAAGTCGAGGACTAAACCGGTCGTAAGTCGAGGACTAAACCGGTCGTAAGTCGAGGACTACCCAACCGGTCTTAAGTCAAGGACTTTCCCTGCCCGGGAGTTCGCCCCCTGTGCCGGCCGAGGCGTAGCTGGCAAGTGGCAGAGATGGAGCAGGCCGACCACCAGGTGGCCCAGCCCAAGGGAGGTAAGGCACCCGCCGGAAAAGGGAAAAAAAATGGCGGAAACCCTTGCTTGGCGACCCCCGTGAAATGGTCGATCGACCCCAAATGGGGTCGTGACCCATAGGTTGAGAACCGCTGTTCTAGATGTTGTAAAACCATGACTGGGTTTGCCTGTGTTGACAACGCAGATGAGAATAACCTTGTTTGCAACTGAGTTGCCACCGCAGATGACATTTTGAAGCAGGGACCGCCTGAATAGGGTTCCTGGGATGGTGTTCAAATGCAGACAGCCAATACCAAAGACAGCTGATTCTTCATATTTAAGGTACCGATACTGAGTGGGATAAGATTTGGAAAGATCTATGCATGAACAATGAAGAATTCCGTGGCATCTTATAGCAATGCACACATTTTTATGGATCACAGTCCTCTGCATTAGATGCAGGAGAAAAGCTGTGGGGAAAAAAAAGAATATTCAATATATACACTGGAATATGGAACATTATATTCTATTTAGTTTATGAAATTGCGGCAATGACTGGAATGTTTAGATAAAATCATGGACAGGTCTATCCAAGAGAAATTATATGCATAAATTATTTCCTCACTAGAGGCAATGTAAATATATATATATATATTGTACATTTAAGAACCAAGACAGACAGCCTATTCAATTCCACTTGCTCATGAACTCCTCCAGGATCATTTGAAAAGTATTCCCAATTAATGAGCTTGCCACATTTCTGATAAACCTAGCACAGTGATGGCGAACCTTTTAGAGACTGAGTGCCCCAAACTGCAACCCAAAACTCACTTATACATCGTCGAGTGCCGGGTGGGTGTGGCCCATTGGGTGGGCGTGGCTGCGGTGGTAACAGCAGACTGGGTGGGACTAAAAAGTTCAATCAGTCAATTCCAACTTTGCAAGATCTTTTTTTTCCCCACGAGAAATTGAAATTGACTAATTGATTGAACCTTTTTTTTTTGTACACGGCGGTAGAGGTCTAAAGTGAAAGTTTTTTTAAACCCAGCTGAAGGCCTAGGATTGGGGCGACAGCACGCGTGCCCACAGAGAGGGCTCTGAGTGTCGCCTCTGGCACCCGTGCCATAGGTTCGCCACCACTGACCTAGCATAATTCAACTAAGCCAAAATCGATGGTTTTCTTGTAAATAACTTGGCTCCTTCTGGCTCTTTTCTTAAGGATAAGTGCTAGCAACACTGATAGAAGAGCAAATGCCAAGCCAAGGAAATATTTCGGGAAATATTACAGCTGTAAGGCCTCTGAGATAAATGAGGGTTTTGCTGCTGAAGTTTTGCAGAAGGGGGGGAGGGGGGCAGGACACAGGGAGGGAGAGAAGACACCATCTGTGGCCAGGATGGGTAGGTGGGTGACTGGGAACAATCTTTGGATGGGACTAGATGTTTCTGAACTTCAATATACAAGTTTCAAACTTAAGAATGAGTTCATTCACAGATAAACAAGAAAAAAGTGTGCATTTTTCTTATCTCTGACAACCAAGACTGCTGGGCTAAGCTGATCCTGCCAAGTAATTCATATTTGGCCTGTATGCAGACAGTTAGAAGCAAGTTGCTGTTTAGGCAGATTCTCCTGGAGAAGGAAGTGGATCAACTCTGACAGATCTCTTATATCTTATCTCTCTTGTAAGTTCTCTTATCTGGAGACAACAGAAAGAGTGCTTGAAATATTAAACCTGCAAGAGCCAAAACAGATGACATGGAAGGAAAATGGTCAGAATTCCACTGGGATGGGGGTGGGGGGGATGCAGGGGAAACACTGTCAATAAAAATAAAATGATTTAGACCAAACTATTTAATTCACTTTCATTTATTGCAGTGATCCTTCTTCAGTACAGTATAGTAGCTGCAATACTCGACGTCGTTAAAACATTAGAAAAGTCATAACTGTAGATAACAGTTACAATACATTATCAAAATATGACATAACATTTTTGGACTGTGGATAGTACCAACCAAAGCTCAAGCTTTAAATTAAGACCGTAGTTCATTTTTAAATAAACAAAACAGCATATAAAATAATTGTGTAAAAAGGAAAGACAAACATAATGAAACAATAAATAATCAATTTCTCCAACTATTTCCTAAACACTTCCGAATTTCACAAAATAAATTTATAAAAATGATATTGCTGAGTGTCAATGGAAAACTATTTCAAGTTATTACTGATTGAAAATTTTAAAAAGTGCCCAAAAGAAATTTAAATTTATAGTAAATAGAAACTGGAATAGTAAATTTGCTAACAGGTTAATAATATATATTACCTAGAGAGTTTTAATAATGTTATAATCAGGATTTGGCATTTGGCATTTCTAATATTGGAAATTCTCATTGGATAAAGAACTTTTAAGTCACAGACTACATTTGGTATCCATCAATAGATCCAAATGTTAAAATAATTATTTCAGCCACCACACACTGACAGAAATGCAACTCCTTTCTTTTGCACATCACAAATAATGGCTGCCCTGAATGGGCCAAACTGCTAACTGTCCAAGTGCATTTCTTCCAGATGGGTGATGCTGTTTTCTATCCTACTCTAAGTCTGCACTTAACAAGAGAAAGGAAAGGAAATTCAGCCTTACTGAGTAATTTTACATCTTCTTTCATCACAGCAACAATCAACCAATCTGGTAGTAATCAACACTCTATTTCCAATGTGATTTTTTTTAAAAAAAGTAACAATAAACTATTTTATTATAAACTTCCAATTTCCTTTGAAAAATATATCCTGACAATGAATTACTCTATCTGGCAGCCAACGTGTATTGCACTTCTGGAAAAAACAAAACAATCAGCATTAGAGCAGTAGGTTACTGAAAGTAATTACAATATGCAAGAATCCTGTTGTCCCATTAACCAGATCTCCCGAAACAATTTGTTCATAGATTTTGATTTCACTTAGCAAGAAAGCTGTGTTTTTATATGCTATGTGTTCACTTAGAAACTCTTGAAATTATAGATCTTTGATCTAACATGGCGCTCTGTATTAAAGCCAAAAGTTGAAACATATGTTTAAGCAACTAACAGGTAACAGGTATAAATGTTATTACCAAGTATCGGATAAAGCCTCAAGAGATTCTTCAGGAAACAGTTTATAGAATAAAAAAATATAAAGCAATTGAAATATATACCCTTCCAGAAACAGAGGGCACACAAATGGGTAATTCTTGAATACACCACCTTATCAAATTAAAAATCAAGCTCAAGAGAACCAAACCTGAGTGTTTAGCAAGAGTTTTAGCAGATTTTAAATAAACTGTCCTTGGATGCCTTGGACAAAACCTGGTCCCACAGAACTACTTTTTATCTATATGGTCCCCCCCAAAAAAGGGCACACACTGAATCAGCCCCAACACTGATGGCAACCTGTGACAAAAGCACCCTTTGATAACAGAACCGCACAATAAAATCTGTCCGGTTAATCTTCCATCATAGGAGTCCAAGGAACACGAAGGACGGGATGGAACTGGAGAACATTAGTAGTTCCCAATTAGTACATCTTTCAGTAGTGAAAATTAAACTTTACAAAGTCCTCAATGCTAACTGCATGAATTTGACTTTTATCATAACCAAGTCATCCCACTTACCTCTTTTAGGACTAACCAGTCTCTTAAACAGACACAGACACAGACCAGACACACAACTCCCCATTCCAAACAATAAGAAACATATAACAATCCAAACTAATACCTTCATGGAAGACCAGAATGCAGCATCTTTATTATTGTAAGATGGAAGAGTCTAGAAACTAGAGGAAGTTTGATCTAAAGTTTTAACCAATGGCAGACGGACTTCATAAATTTACAAAACAATATATGGATGAAATTTGGTTAACTTCAGAAGGCACCTCAAGGCTAAAATGTTTTTATAAATCTATAACCCTTTCATTGATCAAAAATAAACACTTTTATTGCTGCCTTTCAAGTAGCAAAGAAAAACCTGTTTATTTATTCTTTACTAAGGAATCCTCCCCCCTTTAGCAAGATTAAATTACAGAAGAATTAGAAAAAAATGGAACTTCCACAACTTAGGAGTATAGTGACTTTCCTTATGTGCTTTTGAGTCAGGGGAATAGTGAGAAAGTTATCACTTTCTGCCTCTGTGTGAGGTTAAAATTTTAATCGTACGTCCCAGACCCTTTCCTCTAGGCACTGAAGTACCATTTCTTCCCCGTTGTATTTTTGCACAAGAGAGTTTATGAATAGAAGGTAAGAACACTTTGATGATTTCCACGGACAAGGAGAATGGGTGGTAGGTCTTTTGAAAGAGCTTCTATCCAGGCCATGTACAACGCACTCGATACAGCACTTTTTCGTGCAACTGGTAAACTCCTATAAAAAACAGAGAGGAAAAAGTTTTATTCACGAATAGACAGGATTAAAATTGCATTATGTAATCTAATTTAAACTGATCTGCTATCCAAAGTATTTTTTACATGAAATGGTTTTACTCAATAGTATTCATTGAGTAGCATTGACAAACAATTCTGCTGAAAGCAGTTTTTAAATTTTTATTTGATTTATTACCTCTACTAATCACCCACCAAGTTATTTAGCAGCAATACCTCTATTCAAGCAAGAATTCCTCCAATTAAATGATTAATTTTACTGCAATCCACCATACTATATTCTTTCCATTATCACTCAATTCTTATGTATTTAAGCTTACCTTGACCAAGGTTATTTTAATTATTTACTGCTTACTAGCAATATTTATAGATCTCTTCAAACCCCACAAATTTTGTTTTTTAAAAGAAAGCAAGAACAGAGACAATAGCACCGGTATAAAAATGAAGATTCCCACAGGAAGTCTGTTCCATAGGAACTTCATGAGAATGGGGGATGGGGGAGGACTCACAGCAGGCATCTCTAGGATGGGCAGATTCAAGCTAGGAAAGTCTCTGATCATGTATCCTGGTGCAACATTGGCTTCAAAGGAAATGAATTGGTCCCAGAAGCCTACTGCCAACCAGGGCAACAACCACATAATTGGCATTATTCTACAATGATGTCTTACCAATGAGCTAGTTATCATGTTTGCACTAGATGCAGTCATCTTAGAAAGCATCTAAAGTAGTCCACTCAAGGAGTGATCAAGATTAGATCAAAACTGATACACCAATGGAGGTGGGAGAAAGTCCTCCCGTCCAGTGTTTCTATCTGCTACTTGCACAGAGCAACTCTGAAAGATGCCCTAATAACAAACCATCTTTCTGGGGAAACCCAACCATGTCAAGAATAAATATCATATAAAATATAAATATAAAAGCTGATATTTGTTAACTAATAGTGAACTGTAATCTAGGTAGAATCTAAGCTTGTTTTTCCCCACTTAGTCTCTCCAGACACTGTACAAGCTTTCAATGATATTTCAAATTCAACCTTAGTGACAATGTACAAGTATCATCGGGATAACATTTTCAGACTTATGTTCCTACATGTCAGAGGCAATGTGTTTTACTGCTTGGTTTTATTCTACCTTGGTTATTACTGTGATATTTATCATTTACTTCACACATTGACTATTATTTGTGAAAATACCATTTTCAAATTTTCTAGTAATCAGGATCCATTCTTATGAATTGTCAAATTTCAACTTTTCTGAAAAAATAACTCCATTTTCCAATCTGAGATTGTCTGTCTTTGCCTTTTTCATTTTTTAACAATATACTCAAAACTCAGGTCACTAATCTACATTTACTTTTGAGCATACAGGTTTTTATTCACAGAAAATATTTAAATATGAAATACTTGTTCTTGAATTATTGTAATAAGTGAATTGCCTATAGACAAAAGCAGGATTCTGACTTGTGCAGGATCAGAATCCATTTTAAGAAATACGATTTCTGAAAACAAGAACCCAGCTACTTTTTCATGAAAAAAAATACATTGTATTAATGTTACTAAAAATTCTAACATTAATTTTATTTAGAAAATACAAAACTGAAAGTTGCCGACTTACTAAATTCTAGGAATTAAAGACCCACCATGCATGATATATAAATTCTCTCCAATAGGTCACTAAATTGAATCAGACTTCTTGAGAATACAGCTTCTTTTTAAGTATTCTTTTTAAGCATACAGGTAGTCCTCGTTAACAGTGGCAATGGGACCAGAATTTCCATCACTAAGTGAGGTGGTCATAAAACATAACTTCACCATGACATTTGCTTAATGATGGCAATCACAACAATTTTGTTGCCATAGTTAAGTGAGGATGTGAGGATCTCACAACTTTCTACAGAATTTTTGGGGTTTGAGGAGATCTATAAATATTGTTAGTAAGCAGTAACTTACAACTTCAAGAATCAGTAACAAGTCCATTTTTTAATTTTGAATAGTTATTGAATGAATGGACATTAAACAAAGATTATCTGTAGAACATTTTGACTGATTTGTTATTTCAAATATTTTCTGGAAAGGATGCCAAGAATTACAGAAAGAAATACTTACATAACGATTAGATTAGCTGTGCTTGAATGTTCTTTCAGTAATTCATTTAATCTAATCTGACGGTGACTCTGCAAAAAAATGAAAGCATTACTGATGTCTGAAAGGCTAATAACCCATTTTAAAATTAATTTGGAATAGTGATGTAAAGTTCAAATGTTTGTACATATGGGAAAGAATGCTACATACCTTGGTTTTATATAGCTCAATTTCGTTATCTGTGATTCTCCAAGGTTCATCTTCCTTCATTTTGTCTGCAACATCTTGCTCTTTATCATCTTCATGAAGTCTGAATGGTTCAATCATTTCTTCAAAGGCTGCAATGCTGAAAGTTATTTGATCACAGAGTTGGAATGCATCAATACTCAGTTTTATCGATATCTGCAGTAAGGCATGCAACTAGCATGTGTCACGTATCCTAATGATATGTGCAGGCCTAATTAACTGGAATTGAACAGCTGCTTTATCTCTGCACAGAAGTCTCATGTTTCCTAGCAAAAGAAAATTTCCAATAGAAGAGAATATATGTAGCTTGGGCCTAAGTGATGGAGTCCTTGGTGCTCTCTGAGTTTGGATGTTTTGTTACCTCAGCTAGGTAACATCTTCAGTGCACACCTGAGCAAGCAATCAAGCTGAGAGAGCACTAAGGACTCCACAAATTTGTTTTGCAACTTACCTCTATTTAAAGACACTAAGTCTTCCCAGTAGTGTGTAGGGGCTGTTTGTTAAATATTGTAAGGTTCGGTTTTTCATTAACTGAAACTTTAATCCTGCTTTTTTTTACATCTGGACAAGATTCACTAATTAATACTTTAGAGGGCAGGGGATTATTATTAGATAGTCCTTGTTTACCAACTGCCCCTTCAGCGTGTATTTAGACTTATGATAGTGCTGAAAAAAATAAATTTGCAATCGGTCCTTGAAATAACAGCAGTTGCAGCATCCACATGGTCACGTGATTACAATTCAGGCACTTTGCAACCTGAATTGCAATGGTTGCAGCATCCTACAGACATGTGGTTACCATTTGCAACCTTCAGAGTCAGCTTCCAACATCAAAACTCAGTGGTAGGTTGTATGTTGTGGTCATGTGACATTGCCTTAACAAACCATGATGATTTATTTAATCTTGCAATGCATCTGACATTGTACATTTGGCATGGTCATGTGATACTTCAGTTAATGACTGTGTCATTGATGGAGTTGCCAGTCCCAGTTACACCATATTACCATCTCTTTTCAGATTGTGGTCTGAGAAAATGGCATTAACAGTTATTTGGTAATTAAGAAATCATACTAAGACATTATTTTCATTATTGAGGTACTGCACTTAAAACTATAAAATAAATTATCATATGGAAATTCTATTTAAATAATAGCATGCCATTCATATAGTACTTAATGATTCTGTTTTTAATAGCAATTCAGTCCATGAGCTGTAAAAGCTATTTCTTACCCAGTATCTATGCTTTTCTTAATAATTATTTTAAATTATTTTTAAAAATGAAACCTCATTGTATAATCATTTTACAGTACAATCTAAATACTATTGTAATATCTCATTTAAATTACATAGAAATTAATATTGGAAATATACTGTGCAACTTACTTTTCTTTCTTTGGTTTTGTATTGATATCACCAAGGACCATGATATCTGAAAAGTCTATCCGAAATTTGCTAAGTAATGTTGCCATCCTGAAAGTTAAAGGAGACCGTAATTAACAGTGGAAATTTAGAATTCTACATCCAATTCTGAACTTCACAATTTAAGGATATTGATAAGCTGGAATGGTTCCAGAGGACAGCAGCCCCAATAAAAAAAATTATGAGACAGGCTAAGAGGTACTGGGTACGGGTAGCCTGAAGAGCAGGTGATGAGGAACTCTAATGGTTGCGTACAAGTCTCTGAAAGGCCATCTTGTAGGAAATAGGGCTGAACAATAAAACTGCTTCAGAAGATAAGAAGCAGCAGCAATGGCTTTAAATGACAAGGCACAGGTGGACATCAGGAAGAAAATCTTGATGGTAGAACAGTCAACAATGAAATGTATAGTGCCTTGGAAGTAGTGGATCCTCTTTCACAGAAGGCATTTAAACAGAAACTGGATGGGCCCGTTAAGGATATTGTTGATTTAGGTAGTCCTCAACTTATGACTATAACTGAGCTCAGAATTATGGTAGTGAAGGTTGTTAAGTGGGTCATCATGTGATTCCCACCTAATTTTATGACATTTTTTGTGGTTATTAAATGCAGAGTTTGTAAAGCAAACATCATGGTCATTAAGTGAGCATAGCCATGGTTGTTCAACAAGTCCATTGTTCACAATGAGCATTTTTTGCTGTAAACTGAAAGTAACTGCCAGCTACTGGCAAAACTCGCCATTAATCATAGTCACATCCAGTTTTGGTCACCACGATGTAAAAAAGATGTTGAGACTCTAGAAAGAGTACAGAGAAGAGCAACAAAGATGATCAGGGGACTGGAGGCTAAAGCATATAAGGAAAGGC